GATATAACTGGCAGGTATGAAAGCCTGATCCTATGGAGAGGTCTTTTAAAAAAGGGGGGTCGGTCATTTTTGGTGCCAGATTTTCAGTGCGGGATTTTTAGTGTGGGACAGTCAGGGACAATTGATCACTGGACATTTGGTCCTGGAACAATTGATCATTGGGACAATTGATCACTGGGACATTTGGTCACTGGGACATTTGGTCACTGGGACAATTGATCACTGGACGATTGATCATTGGACATTTGGTCACTGGGACAATTGATCATTGGGACAATTGATCACTTGACAATTGATCATTGGGACAATTGATCATTGGACATTTGGGTCCGGAAGGGGGGAGGGGGGTAATTCGAAGGTCAAAGTCTAGGTCAAAGTCTAAGGAAGCCTATGTCTAGTGCCCTACTGTCTACACCTATTGAATAAGAACCCGTGCCTTTGGATATAACTGGCAGGTATGAAAGCCTGATCCTATGGAGAGGTCTTTTAAAAAAGGGGGGTCGGTCATTTTTGGTGCCAGATTTTCAGTGCGGGATTTTTAGTGTGGGACAGTCAGGGACAATTGATCACTGGACATTTGGTCCTGGAACAATTGATCATTGGGACAATTGATCACTGGGACATTTGGTCACTGGGACAATTGATCACTGGACGATTGATCATTGGACATTTGGTCACTGGGACAATTGATCATTGGGACAATTGATCACTTGACAATTGATCATTGGGACAATTGATCATTGGACATTTGGGTCCGGAAGGGGGGAGGGGGGTAATTCGAAGGTCAAAGTCTAGGTCAAAGTCTAAGGAAGCCTATGTCTAGTGCCCTACTGTCTACACCTATTGAATAAGAACCCGTGCCTTTGGATATAACTGGCAGGTATGAAAGCCTGATCCTATGGAGAGGTCTTTTAAAAAAGGGGGGTCGGTCATTTTTGGTGCCAGATTTTCAGTGCGGGATTTTTAGTGTGGGACAGTCAGGGACAATTGATCACTGGACATTTGGTCCTGGAACAATTGATCATTGGGACAATTGATCACTGGGACATTTGGTCACTGGGACATTTGGTCACTGGGACAATTGATCACTGGACGATTGATCATTGGACATTTGGTCACTGGGACAATTGATCATTGGGACAATTGATCACTTGACAATTGATCATTGGGACAATTGATCATTGGACATTTGGGTCCGGAAGGGGGGAGGGGGGTAATTCGAAGGTCAAAGTCTAGGTCAAAGTCTAAGGAAGCCTATGTCTAGTGCCCTACTGTCTACACCTATTGAATAAGAACCCGTGCCTTTGGATATAACTGGCAGGTATGAAAGCCTGATCCTATGGAGAGGTCTTTTAAAAAAGGGGGGTCGGTCATTTTTGGTGCCAGATTTTCAGTGCGGGATTTTTAGTGTGGGACAGTCAGGGACAATTGATCACTGGACATTTGGTCCTGGAACAATTGATCATTGGGACAATTGATCACTGGGACATTTGGTCACTGGGACATTTGGTCACTGGGACAATTGATCACTGGACGATTGATCATTGGACATTTGGTCACTGGGACAATTGATCATTGGGACAATTGATCACTTGACAATTGATCATTGGGACAATTGATCATTGGACATTTGGGTCCGGAAGGGGGGAGGGGGGTAATTCGAAGGTCAAAGTCTAGGTCAAAGTCTAAGGAAGCCTATGTCTAGTGCCCTACTGTCTACACCTATTGAATAACAACCCGTGCCTTTGGATATAACTCGGAGGTATGAAAGCCTGAACCGGGAGATTTTTGACAATTCGATAAAAGTGGTATTAAAAGTACATCTGGAATTCATCTGGGAGTTTCGTTAAACAAAAGTTCAGAATTTTGAAAAAAAAAAGAGATCGTCAAGTTGGATTGCTTTTGGAGTTTAGGAGTATCTGAAGCTCTCGGAGCTTGGAAGAGTTGGGTGTTGGGTAAACCCGGGGTAGGGAGAGGGGGCCCACCCAAACCCATTTTTAACCAACAAAAAAATAATGTGATAAAAAATACCACTTGTAAAGAAAAGGACTTTTTGCTTTCTTCTAAACGAATCCGCAAAAATCCTTTTTTTACAAGTGGCTTAATTGTGCTTTTCCGTTTTTGCATCTAAGAATTCTGCTGTTTGATAACATTTTGTGCTGAAAATAATAGAACAAAAAAATCGACGCAAACGGAAAAGCACTAAAAAATAATAAAAACATATTCAATTCAAATATCTTTTAGACCTTTAAATGTGGCAGAAGCATCTTTGCCACATTTTTTAGCTTCTCTCGTCTTTGTAATTCATCATCAATTTGTTGCAGTCCAATGCTCATAGAACACTTCTCGCAATAACATTTTGTCTTGCTGTAGCTGTTGAAGTTCTAGAGCCATCAGATAACATCCACTAGCCCCACTCGTTCGACGAACATAGTGGTGATTTAGTTGTCTGAAGGGTTTTTGTAGAAGAACATACTCCTCACGTGGAACTTGCTAAAATTTATTAATTATAGAATTCACAAAAAATTAACACATACACTGAAAACTAAATCCTTTGTTTGGATACTTTTGAGTCGATCCATCTGCTTTCGAAATTGAGAATAGCGCACATTGAAGGAACAAACTTAAATATAAGCAATTGAATTAGGTGCATGAAAAATTACAAAAAAACCTGCAGTTTTATGAATAAATCGGATTTACATCAGAACCACCATGCACTTCAGCTTCGCCATCATCATCGTCGTCGTCATCGTCGTGGATGTCAAAATATGGCTCATCTTCGTCGTCATCATCATCAATGTCATAGTGATCACTTCCATACGCATCTTCCTAACAATAAAAAATATTTTTAAAAAAATTTCGCGACTAAACAAACCCCTTCATGTTCATCTAAACTCTCATCTAAACCTGTAGCATTTTCTTGACGACGTCGACTTTGCTAAGAGATTGTTCTTTCACGAGCACTAAATGAAGTATTGCTGTTTTCACGAGTTCTAGAAATTGTTGCTGGCGCATCCAAATCTTCTTCATCGTCATCATCTTCATCTAATTTAGGAAATAATAAATTAATAAAAAATATATACTTGACATATCATCATTGCTAGCACGTTCCAATGCCATATCTGTCGCCTGACTAGTGTCACCTCGTCGCAAATCAGCCAACTGTATTATACGTGCATTGTTTGCTACACCAGTAGACGTTTCATTTCGGTCACCACTTTGCATTGAGATGCGAATTAATGAGGACAAATCTTGCTCGTTGGTCAAGTGTTGTTGTAAAACTTCCAAAACATCCTCATTTGATACAATGCTGGCTGAAAGTTTAACGATTCCAAGACGAATTGGAGAAATTAACGCATCAGTGATTCCGGTCAATTCCAGCAACGAATAACTAATTAATGCCTGAAAAATTCTTTTAAAAAAAGAAAAAATTTTTTTTAAATAACCTGAAACACTCGCTGACATTTTGCTACTAAAGCAATAACTTTATGCTACTTTTGATCTTTTTTCTCAAGTGATGAATTGAGAGAAAGAGCGGGAGGTAGACTAGCACGAACTAATGAAAATACACCATTCTTTGTTGGTTTCACGCTCAGCTTTTTGGATGTCTAGTGCTGTAAAAAGGAGATTTTTTTACTTCGAAAAAAATTCCCATGAACAAAACGGATATTTTTCCGAAGAGAGATGTCCTTCTACCAGATAATTCCCCAGAATATTAGGAAGTTATCCAAGAACCCATGTCCTTTTTTTTCATTGGAAGCACGGAGACAGACATAGGAAAAAAATCTACATGGCCCACTAATCCCCAATCCTATTTTGTCTAAAAAAGTTAGATGAGATTGGCGGAACCCAGTAGACAAGAGAAAGCCCACTACTCCAAGGAAACCCAAAAAACCATGTCCCGTTTGTTTTTTTTGTTGGAAGGCTACAGGCAGGCATAAAAAAGAATAAATGTCAAGCCGGAAAAGTTCATTGAGACCCACTGGAAAGTAGGAACCCTTACACTTGAGAGGTTTGATGGAAAAAAACCTCTCAAGTGATGAACCCACTTGAGAGGTTTGATGAGATTGGTGGGACCAAAAAATCAAAAAAAATATAAAAATAACCTTCTTCAATCAACTCTCCAGTGAACACCTTCGCCATACCCGCAATCGCAATAACCACATTTTAACCAACAGAAACACCAGCAAATTGGCTAATCAACTAAAATATTTACATAATTTTAAAATTAAAAAATAAAAGAAACCCGTCGAATCGTCGATTTTGGAAAACTGGCACGTCTCATCGTTTCATAACGTTCAAGTTGTTCTTGGGTAAAATTGGCGAGAAGAATTCTAAAAAAGGAATAATTTTAAGAGAAAAAACGGATCCCTGTGAAAACCTACACCCTGAAGACCTACATCCTCAATGCCTATTGACTACAAAGACCTTTAATTTTTGAAGAGGAATATCGAGGGATTTGGAATATCGAGGGACCTCCACATCCTCCGATATCCAACTTGATCCCTCGATGTCAAATACAAGTCCCCTGATGTTCACTTTAATCTCTAAAAATCCCCCGATATCCCTCTTAATCCTTTTTGATATAATTAAATCCACGGGAACTGGTATATACAAGGGGGACTCAATCGTGCCGGGACTCAATTGTGCCGGGACTCAATCGTGCAGACTCAGTTGAACTGCTCCGACAAAAAGATATAAAGAAACCTGGCATATCGAAAGCACTTTCAAAGCCAAATTTTGCGAACCCTTCTTTTCAGTTTGCAAATCATCATCCAACATATGGAAAATCAAATCAAGCACCAGAGTTCTAAACTCAATATCCAATTGTGATTCCCAAACTTTATTGAGCGTTTCAATCATTACAGGTGTTTTGTCTGGCGCCTCGTTTGATTTTTGCAGTCTCCACCATATCAATTCGTCGAGTATCAAAAGCCAAACCAATCACAGAATTAAAATCGCGACGTTCGTTTTGTTGAAAGATGCGATCGATTAGAGCGGCTAATTTTGGTTCAACATCCACCTTTTGATTTCTCTTCTTTTTGTAAGTATCGAGAGCTTGTTCAATAATTGTATTGACATACTAGAAAATTTTTTTAATTAAAAAGGGGTCAACATTGAAAACCTACACCCTAAAAACCAATTGACCTAGAAACCTTTGAAAGGGAATATCAAGAGCTTTGAAGTGATTAAGGGATATCGGGGGACTTGGTGTGTTGAAGAGAATAGAGATCTCTACACACCGAGTTATGGTACACGTGGGTGTCATCCCCTTAATCCCTCGATATTCCAGTTCAAAAGTTGTAGGCCCGCAAGTCAATAGTTCTAGACTGGAACCATTAAAATTAAATCGAAAGAATTTAAAAAATACCAAGCTATAATGCTCCTTAAAATCGTCTTGTCGAGGTGTTGAACTAAAATTGTTGCAGAATCAAGAGCAAAGGCAAGCGCTTTTTCGTAATTTTCTAAACAATAAGCAACTTAAGAACAAAGTAAAGCAGCCTTACCTCTTCCAGCAAAGTTTTGGTCGTTGGCTAAGTTTCCAAAACGCTTAGATATTGTGCCATTTCGAACCATGTAGCCGTAATAACTTTCCAATCATCCAAATTTTCGATAATTATTTGCTTCTCTGAGGTTTGTCTTTAAGGATCACCAAGCGATTCGAGGTACGGAGTAACATTTTTTGGATTATTTCGCCAAATATGCATAACTTGCGCCGTTTTTGAAGAATACTTTTTAAAGAATTGTAAAATAAAAACTTAAATTTTTGTCTAAAAACGACATAAAGTAAAAATTAAGAAAACAGAAAAAAATTCCCAAACAATAATGAGAAATAAAAATAAGAAATAATCGGCGCAGGACTAATAGGCGCGGCCGAATAGGCGCGGCCGATTAGGCGCGAGACGAATAGGCGCTCGAAGTTATTTTTTCCTAGAAATTTTTTTCTGATTTTTGTTCTGATTTTTTCTTCTGATTTTTGTTGATTTTCTGTTCTGACTTTCCGGAAACCGGCCGGTTAATTTTCATTTCCCGATCCCAGCTTTTTTGGACCGGGAAAAATTCGAGCAGCGAATTGTAAAATTTTCTCAAAATTTTCGTCTGCGGCGCTGAAAATGGAAGAAAGCTTGCTTCTTGGTCTTCCAAAATTCTAAAAATTTTCACCTGCGGCGCTTAAAAACAAGAAAAGGGGATTTATTGGATATCGGACCTTATGCGAAAAAAATTACATTATGATTTGCTATAGAATAGGATAAGATTTTTACATTCTTACATTGTTTTCTTTTTTAGATTTTATTTTTAACTCAATCAATTTACATTTCTTTAACTTTTTACAAATTTGCATTTTTTACCCTATCAACATTTATTTATACTTCACTCAATTCTTATTACCCATTTGTTTGTTATTTATTTGATTTGTCATTGTTGTCACTTTTGAGTGCAATTTTCGCTCAGTTTCTATAAACCAGTTCAAATAACCTCACCCTTTGATCACAAATTTAAGCTAAAATTTTTCTCTCTCTTCCTTCATCTGTTATATGAAATGTTTGAAAAATAGCTGCTTTAGGTTCTACTATGTCTGGTATATTTATTTACGCCTTCACTTTTCACAAACTGTTTATCGCTAATAAAATATTAGCATTTTTAATTGCTTGGTGAATAATTTTGCTTTGTTTTTTGCCAATTTATTTTTCATTCGATAGAATTTATTTTTGATTTGATTTTGAACAAATCCCTCACGAGCTCGCGGAAATTCGTGCTCTAGCTTTATTTTCTTCCAATAGATAAAGGGTAATCGTTTTAAACACATTGTATTTCATCTTTAAAAATGCTGATTTACAATCTTCACTTTGTTTTATTGATATTGATTGTTGCCATTTTTAGAAGGTGAATATTTTCACATTTGTAATTCTTACGATGTTAGAAATATCTGGGTACCTATTTTTTGATAAATCCAAAATTATATAGCTGTTCGACTATACCTCGAAGAGGATTGGAGCCTTGGTCAATAATATTATGCAAATTTCGCGATCTGGCAACATATGAGCCTAGAACAAAAAATTGGTTTATCCGATGGATTACTGGTCATAATGATGAACATGGTTAGTCATAATGATGAACATGGTTAACCATGTTCATAATGATGAACATGGTTAATATTTTAATGACTTGTTAGCTTATATTCTGCTTTATAATTTTAAGTAATTAAGATACAATTGAAAAATACTTTATGAATGTTTCTAATGGTTTGTACTCTATCGGGGGGAGCAATGTAAATGGGTAAATTAATTCACAAACCATTGTTTTTAAATAAATTCCTAGTTGGTTTACACTTTCTAAAACACAAAAAGATATTCTTCGTATGGTCGACAAATCAAGACGCGGCAGAATAAATCCTCCACTTCTTGGTTCGGATTCCAGTTTTAGGGTAAATTTGGGAATCAATGTAAAAATATAAAATATTCAATAGTATTTTGACGTAATCAAAGACCTTTGCTTTGCTGAAGCAGTCAAAAATGGATCTAATTTACATCGGCAAAAAATAACTATTATAAATGGTTTGACTTATTTTTTAGAGTAGGTATTTCATACGAATTCAAGTGTTGGCAATAATGTCTCAATTTATAATTAAGTCAAGAATAAAAAATTCCTGATTAATATAAATTAAAAATTAACTACTTTAAAAATTCAAGCTGGGACAGCCGCTGTATTTGACAAAAAGAACGGTGTGTTGCTTACACCTCAGCTTGTTTTCTCATCTGTGCTTACACACGAAATGGTTAAAAACATTGTTTTATACTTTAATTTTCCTCGTCAGGTTCACTCTTTTTTCATTGGACATTCCTACAGTGACAGAAAAATTCATGTAATCTTAATTTCTAAGTGAAAATTTCTATTTAAGTGCCATTAAAATATAGGTATTTCCTTATGCCTCATCTGGGGAGTATGACGATAGATATGATTTGATGAGTACTGCTAATGCCTACATGGTATTTATTGGATATTATCTCTAATTACCATATAATTAAAGTATCACTCCAACTTTGGAATGAGTGGTCCAGGTCTTAACGGTCCACATCTGGACTACCTGGGATGGCTACCTATGGATAGAATGCTTTATTTCGGAAGGTGTAATCTGTTTTGTATATTAATTTTAAAAGCAGATTTTAGAGAGAGCGGGAACAATTATACTCTTCGTCTCTCATCAATTAGTGTTCCTCATAATCAGTTAGAATAATTATTTTCTCAGTTTAATCTGAATTTTAAGAACGCGAGGTTGGCTTCTTATAATGCTTCCCTACGATCGTGATGACCCAAATAATTACTACACAATTGAGCTTAGAACACCTCATAATTTTGATCGAGGAATTGAGCAGGCAAATTATGAAATTTTAAACATTTACATACGAATTTAGCCTTCTGTTCTGGTACATCGTGTTCAGAAAAATGGCATAAGTTATTATTCTACATTATTAAGGCAGGCTGACTTTTATGAATTGACAGATGAAGGAACAGAATGGGTTAGTAAATAATAAATATATCGTAGAAATATAGAACAATTAATATGGAAATTATAATACTTAATTCTCCTAATTAGAGCCCGGATCGAGAAAGATCAAAAATCTTGGTTTCGAGATCGGTATTTTTTTGAAATATCGATCTCAATTCTCGTACGACCTCCGCAGTCCGGGCTCTACTAATCTTTTATAAAGGTGACGTTCTTGGAATTGATGTCTCCCACAACTTCAGATAGTATCACTAACAAAGGCAAACAAAATAGTTCATCGAGAAATTTTCAGTTCATTCGTGTTTCACTAAAAAAAGTCTATGAATGTTTGTTTCTTTTCATTTTAAGTATTGCACTAATTTGTAAATTCCTATCTTCTAGATGATGCTGATATCCATATTGTCTCCACATTTAATCCGGTAGAATAAATTATGTATTAAAATTACAAATTTATTTTAACGAAAGATAGACTGAATGCCATTTTGGAGAACAAAAGTTCTATTCTTCTCGGCAGTCACACCCGTTCCTTGTAGGATTAGACCACATTTGCTTGGGCGCTACAATGAGTAAAAACAATAATTCCACTGCAGATAATAATGAATTTAATGCTGAAAGGTCAATGAATTTGTATCATTTCTAATGTTAAAATCTATAAAATTTAGGAGTAAACGCGATGAACAGTTACGCTTGGTGCGGTTATTCAATGGTGGTGATTTTAAAAAGCAATTTGGACGTCAAAATTTTTTTTCAAATCGAAAGACATTTGGAGCAAATTCTTGTCGTAAAGGACTTGTTTGGCGTTCTCTAGATTCCTATGACTATGTATGCGTTACTGAGCAACGGTAATTAATTAATCAACTTGAAATTGTTTTATTTAATTATGACAGTCAAAAATTGGCCCAACGCGAGAATCTACTTCAAGAAAACCGCATTTCATATAATGGACATGCGATTAGATGCATTGAACCATTTCTGTCAAGACGCGCCTTCCCTGGCGATGAAATTTGTGTTTTGGCTGAGGAGAAATTCCACATCTTTAGAGAAAACTCGCAGGCATGTATTTATCAACAAATATTGCATATTTATCTTCTTATTTAGGCATATAGCACGTTGCTTCATGTTAATTTCTTCAATGGGGTTGATACAATCGGTCCATAATCATTGATGTTTAAAAAAATTGTTAACATACGATGAGGATTATTGTTCTTCTTAGAATTATTTCATTTTTATAAATTTTACGGGTAGGACGTAACCACCACAAAATCCTAATAAATAAATTTCGTTTTTCATTTTTTATTAGTTTTTTGTTATTTGTTTAAGTAAATCTTTTCTTTTGTCTGAAAACAATTGTTTTGTTTGTAAAGAGACAAAAAACCCTTTGGCAAATATTGCCGCCTTTATTTAATAGCAGATGGTTTTATTTTTTCTTTTTTTAAATTATTCCTTACTTTTTTAAATTACCTATTATGTCTAGTATATCTAATTATGAGACATTTCCTATCGTAAATTTTTTTATAAAATATTTTGGGTCCGATTTAGGTAACCCATGTTTTTTATGAATATTTGAAGCTGGCTTTTTTATAATTTTTTATTTTCAACTATATATGTATTTTGAAATTTAAAATTTACTTTACATAGTATACTTTAAAATTTAATTTTATTTTTGTAATAGTACATTTATTTAAAAAGCGCAGCTCTTTGTTTGTAGGTTCCGAGATTAGTTAAGAGTATTTTATAAAAATCCTCTCACCATTTTTAATTATGCAAGCGAACGTAGATACTATGTACTATAAATGCAAATAAGACAAATATAAAAGAAATTCTCGTGCTGCTTCAAGAATATAAAATGTAATTTATAATGAAGATTAATTATGCCTAAGATACATGATTACCTCCGAATTAGAAATAAAATTCTGAGGGGAGATTTAGCAGAATAAATAAAAATTGGGCGAATTGTAAATTTTGGCTGGCATGTGAACTCGATATTCTCGATTTTGATGAATAAAGTATCCCTCCCTGTTTATAACAAAGTATCCCTCCCCACTATTTGAGTCCAGATTAATTTTCTCCTCAAGCAGTTTAAGGAAAGCAAAAAGCAATCTAACGGCAAAAATCAACATTTATAAGAAAGCTAATTTGACCATTTTGAGGCAGAGAATAATAGGAAAAGTGATCTTGGACTCAAATAGGGGTGAGATGGTTGGCGCGATATTAATAAAAAGTACCTTGAGTTTATAGTTATTTAAATATTATCATACTTTTAATGAAAATATTATTATCCATAAAATTATCATAACAAATATTTATGAATTATTCAAATAAAACAGGAAAATAATATTCATGAAATATGTATATGGCGTAAACAATTTAAAAGAGGATTTGAAAATCATATTAGAAAACGGAAGTGAAATTATTCTCGCTCTTTTCAATATTTTATTGTTACAAGAGGAGAAAGCAGGCGCACTTTCAAGTGCATTTAACGCAGCCAAATAGCGCCTGACGTAGTTCATCTTATCAAAATTTTTTTTATTATTTATTCTTCTAATACATAAATTGTTTCTTAAATTTTAAAATTAAAAATTAAATTTCGCGATAATTATGCTAAATTTTTTCGCGGGGAATTTGAAATAATATGTAAGAAGGTAGGATGGTGTACTACATAGCAGGGATGGACAGGTCGAGGGAAAAGTCAGGTCGGGTTTCGGAAAATTTTTCGGATCGGATTTCGTGTATCAGCTCGGAAAAAGAGTCTGGGTTCTGTGTATCGAGTTTGGGTAATCCGTCCCATCCATGCTATAAGATGGTGTTTTTCTGAGAATTCTTTCTATAATAGGTCAACATACCCTTTGGGTTCAGTAAATCCCCCAGGAAGTGTTCTTTATTCTTTGGCAGTTGGAATAATTTTCAATTTGGCCGACGTTTGAATAAGCTGTATTTTAATAGCTCATCTCCTTTATTCACGCATTAAAAATTAATGACAGTTTCCAAATTTTAATTTTCTCTTTTTTCCTAGTAAAATATTTTCCATAAAGCAATTTAAAGAATAAATTTTATAAATTTCCTCCAATTTTACCTCTCCCCAAGGCTAAAACTCATTTCCTTCGCGCCTTACAATTCTTTAAATTTTACTCCTTTTCTCATTCATTCTCATCCAAGTTGACGACCTTGATATTCATTTGGGAATTTTAAAACTTCTTTTCCCCTAAAGAAAAATAGAAACGCTTCAATAAAATTGGAAAAAGTTAAATTATACTAGGCTTATCTTTCAGTTTTATTTTAATCATTTCAGTATATGGAAGACCTTCATTCTCCTTTATTTAAAAATCCAATTAAAAAATTAATTAAAAATTCAATAAAAATCCATAAAATTAACATCCAGATCTATATTTATGCTTTTTAAAATTTTGAATAGGTAATTCACACGCAATTGTGCGTTTTCCAAGAATAATGAAATATGCATGCTAAATTAAAATGTTAACACGCTATAACATAAACATCCGCTTACAAACATTCACAAACATATTGTTCTTGTACATTTAAGAATGAGCAATATAACCTAGATTTTAATAATACCAATAATTTATCCATATATTTACCTAGTTTTAATATGCCATCAGATATCATTAATACTTGTTGAACGATCCGAAAAATATCTGTAACGTTATATTTATTGAAACTCTCTAGATTTCTTTATTTATCAACTAAAATAATTAAAAAATGGATGTTTTGCATATTTGCGACTCAGATCCTGAACTTTTTGATAGAAATTCCACGACTCAGTTACTGGTCATTCAATGGCTTTCGACAATGGCTGGATTGTATAATCTGTTTGTTCACCCATTCCTTTGCCTTTTGATATGCCCTCTTGGTGTTCTAGCTAATTTTGTTCATATCTTGGTAAAAACTACATATTCTAATATTCTTTAATCAACGGATTAAAGGTGCTAACTAGAAGGAAAATGAGACGATGTGCTATTAATAATTGCTTGATAGGAATTGCTATATGTGATATATGCACAATGACAAGTTACCTTGTCTATATATTACGTTTTGAAATATGGACTCGAATTACGAGTATTAAAACAATCAGGTTGGATTTGCTTGAATTAATATAATAGAAATATTCTCAGTTATTTTTGGGCTACTTACTTACACTTTCATGCCACTAGTTCAATTTGCTTGCATACAATTGCCTTATACATGTCAGTTACAATGGCACTTATTCGATGGCGTGTAATGAGCCAACCATTTTCTAAAGTTGTTGTTCAGCCAATTTTATCTTGGTATTTTATAATTTGCTTAATCTTTAGCAGACATTAAAGGATACTAGAATTTTGGAGAAACCAAAAATTAGACCGCTAACTCAATCAAACTTAAAAAAATTTTTTAGGAAAATATTCGGATCAGTGACAGCTGTTGTTTCTATGCTTTGTATCCCTACATATTTAGTTCACGATGTGATAAACTTTGGTGCTTATTTTTTTAGTGTTGATATATCCGAATGGGCACGTTCTAATAATTGTCGTTATTTCAAATTAAATCTGTTCATTATTGGCATAGTTTTAAAGGTACCTAGTTAATGTATCTTACTGCTTCATATGTATTTAAATAGAAATTAGTTGGTTCCATACCCAGTGTGAAGTCCAGAATAGATTAATGTTGTTAGTCCAGCCGGGAATTATTCACCTCTCACTCCGTCAGAGTGATTAAACGGGCGACGACTACTTCCTCCGACCGGGCAATAAATATAAGAATAACTATTCACTTGACTAATTAATTGACTTATCCTTTCCTTCACTTATTACCGAGATTATATTTGTTATGGATAAGGTGAGGGGTAGCCGGAAAATTATATTATCATTTCTCAATCCTCCGCAGTACAAAATCTAAATATTATCTAAATTAAAAGGCTATACCTTGCTTCCTTCTTCTTTGGTTCACTCTTGCTTTAATGAGACGGTTACGTGAAAACAATGCTAAACGTGCACAATTGTTAAAAGACCAAAACAAAAAATCGTTGAACTATGACCGTACAACCTTTACACTCATCGTCGTTTTAGGAGTTTTCCTCGTAAATAAATTTATATTTGTTCCCATTTTTAATTTCAAAATTTAGTTGACTGAACTGCCTCAAGGAGTTCTGACTATTCTTAATGGGATATTCACTAACGACGTTCATACAGTTTTTTATATGAATCTTGCAAATCTTTTGGATTTGCTTTCGTTAATTAATTGTTATGTTGGATTTCTTGCTTATTGTTTTCTATGTACCAAATATCAGCAAACATTTGTTTTGATGATTTTCACCTGGTTAGATTTGCTTATTTGTTATTATAGGTCAGGGATCCTGCGTCCCGATTTCCGAAATCGGGAATTTTGTTTTTTTGTCGGCAGGATGCTTGTTATAGGTATTCCCATTTATTTAAAAAATTCCATAAGATTTTTATATTTTAAATTCATTTATGAACATTGTTGCTTATCTTTATTAACATTATTCTAGTACTTTTAGCATTGAAACTTTGTTCAAATGCTTTGGTGTCAAGAGAAATACTGTTATCACTAATCAAGAACGTCGGAAACGGGCTTCTCGTAAACAGTCCGCACATAAAAGAAGTTTAGTTAGGTCCAGTTACAATTATTCTAAAACCGATTGTGAAATGCCGCAAAGCGACAATTTGACAACTATTTTTGAAGTTGAAAGAGAACACCCTCAAATATATATTGATGAGAAAAGTAGTGGATCCAACATCGGAAGCAGTGATTTTTCAATATCAAGTTATTCCTCTTCTTCAGAATGTGACCAAATTGTCTTGCCTCTTTCAAAGAAACAGCATATTTTAGTACAAAATCAGATAGAGAATTTCGACAGTAAATTGGATATATATTTATAAACGAATAAATTTTTGAAATTTTTCAAGAGGCTTATAATTAGCTTATTTTCTCGACCAAGTGTCTCTTTCTCTCTAATAATTATCCACCCATTATTTATAATTTAAAAAATTATTTGGCTGAACTGCCACTTCATGAAGAAGCATGAGTAAAACAAGGAAAATTCTGTCCTGGCGTATATCTATTTAAAATATTTATTTCCTCTTTTTAAGTGGCTGGCTGGGTAGATCGATACACCAAAAAGCTTGACCATTGTTTGGCTTTTCTCAAGCTATCGGCATTTCTCCAGCATTTTCGTTTATTTTTTTTTGTTTATGAGCAACAACTTAAATTAAATCTTGAGCTAGGAAATTAATGTTGAAAATATTCTAGACGACCATAAGTTTCAGAACAAAAGAAGAAAGTTAACAATAATTTCCTCTTATGGTAGGAAATTATTGTTAAAAATGTTTTAGACGATCATATGTTTCAGGAATTCTTTCTAACAATAATATTTATTTATTATTTTATCAAATTTACAATTTAAAAACGTCTGTTTTACGTAGCTATATTTTAAATGTTATTCTTCACTTCTATCTCCCATATGGATTTGGATAATCCATCCGCTTAGATTCATCTGTAAACTCATGAGTCTCATTTGTATTGAGCTCGCCCCCAGAATAGTCACCTTCACTATGCTCCGTTATTTCATTATGTTCCGTTTGACTGCCGTAGTTGAAGTAAATACAGGATATTAATTTAATGAAATTTCCGTAAAATAAAATTGAGAGAAAATAAAATAAAAATAATATTGAAATCCTCATTTCTTCAAAAATTTTTAATTAATGGGATATTTAAAATAAAAGTTAAAACGTTGGATAGAAACTTTAGTCAATTTATTCATTTTAAATTTTGGGGAATATCTTTCAATCTATTATATTTTATGGATTATATTCACACGTAGATTATAGCCATTACATCTGAATAAATATTAATTCATTGCGAACCCAATGCTTCCGCATATTGCCAACAATTTATCCTCTGAAACAAAGTTGGACACATAATAGATGTCTTTTTTAATAATTTTTCTTGATAAAAATTTGATAGATTTTAATTTAAAAGACAAGTTTTTTATATCGGTCTGTGAAAAATGTCTAATAAATTTTTGGTAATGGTAAGGCAGATTATTCTGAGCTTTTTTGCTTGATATAGTATAATTTATTATATAACATCCTAAAGCTGGGTCGAATTATATCAAGATCGGTTAGATGAAAAAAAATGAAAAAGTTATTTATTCATTTAAGTCGGAGCTCGTTGATTTTAGTGCCAATTGAGGGCGCCTTCGAATTACTTATAATTTGTTAAAAGTAGTAAAAATTGAAAATAATTTAAAGGAAAAAATAGGTGTGAGCCGAATATTACAGAATTTTTTTAGTTATAAATAAGGCTGTGATTTATAGGCAAATGCCTATTTTTTCTGCAAGCTTGGGATGATGTAATACGTTCAAAAAACGTGTTTTTAGCTTGGTCCGAAAAGTCTAGCATGACTTTTAATTTGCCTATTTTTGCCTATTTTGGTCTTTTTGTGCCTTTCTGCCTATTTTGAAATTTTTGGTACTATTTTTGCCTTTTTTAGCGATTTTTTCGAAATTTTGCCTAAAAATCAATGCAAAATCTAAAAAAATCAGTCCTAAATTAGAAAAAATCAGTGCCAGGTCCCATTATTTATTTTTAGTTCGATAAATTGTTTATTTTTACTCTGTTCAACATTTTGAACTGGGACGATTGGGTTTTGGGACGTTTTGGGGTACGGCGTTTTGTGTTTTGGGCGAGATTTCCATTTTGTCAATTATAGACATTTTTAAAAATTTTACTCCATTTTTTCAAAAAATTATTAAAAATGCCGAATAAATGACAAAAAGGTTTAAAAAATAGTTTATAATTCAAAAAATGATGAATAAATGGGTATTTTCTTGCTTTTTTCTTAATTTTATAGGCTTGATAACCTTTTTTACGTGCCTATTTTTGTGCCTTTTTTGGCTTTTTGGTGCCTATTTTAGGCGCCTATTTTACTGATTTTACTTGCCTAACTATCACAGCTTTAGTTATAAAAATGGAATTTTAGATAAAAAATTAAATAAACTTATTTTAAAGATAATTTTTATAATTGTAAATTATTTCCTTTTTTAACAGTCGCATTTTTACAACTGGTTTAATTTTCTCATCAAAACTGTCTGTACATTTTATCTTAATTAATTATCAGCTGTCTTATTTAACCTTGATTTCCCCTCATCACTTTTTAGATAATTGGTTCATTATTTATGAGCTGATCTACATATTTCCTAAATTAGTTTAATTACCCAAGTTTAAGATTTCAGATAAAAAATCAATACGCCGAAATGGCACCCGCAAAATCTGAATTACAACAAGTAATGGACAAATTGGCTGCCTTAGAATCAAAAATCGATAATAACAACATAAAATTTTCCTCTTTCTCTAATGAAATTCTTCAAATCAAAAATGCTTTAACAACAATTGAATCAAAAATTCAAACAGTTGAAACAACAATTGAAACAAATTTTAAAAACAATGAATCATCAGCAAGCGAACAAGAACGCAATCGTTCTATTGTTATTATTGGACTACAAGAATCTAAATCAACAACGCCATCAATTCGTGTTGCTGAAGACAAGTCTGCAATCGAAGATGTACTCAACTTGTTGGGGGTTGAGAGCCCATTCGTTTCGTACAGAATGGGTAAGCATGACCCAACTGCTAAAGGTTGTCGTTTAATAAAAATTGTTTTTGGCGCTTCAAAGTTTCAGCGAATTTCACTTGCTGAATGGAAACGACACAGAGTGGAAATGAAAAAAGAATCAAAATGGTCTCGTTTGTTGATCAGGCCAAGTCTTACTAGAGAACAATTGGAAGCTGAAAGAATTGAACGTGCTAAGAAACGAGATGAATACAATAAAAGAACGAGTGCAAATGTGACTGAAAGAACAAAAAACCATTAAGAGGTCGTCCAAGATTCAAGGTTTTAAAAAACTCTTTAAATATTTCCCCTTTTATAAATGTCTATATTTTAATAGTAGGAGCTTGGTTAACAAATTAGATGCTTTAAGATTACTTTTACTTTCCAAGTCCTTTAAAATAATTTGTATTTCCGAATCGTGGTTGAACAAAAAGATCGATAATTCCCAAATTTTACATACTTCACCTTATTCCATTGTCAGATGCGATAGAAGTTCTAGGGGCGGTGGTGCTTGTATTTTAGTAGATAATATAATTCCCTTCTCTCCCGTTAAAATTCCTAAAAATAAAAATTCCGACATTGTTGCCATAGACATTTACTCCCCCAAATTTGACAAATTTCGAATAATAACCGTATACCGTCCTACCACAAACGAAAATTTTAAAGACTTCCATGAACTTCTTGATACATTAAGTTATTTAATATCTATTAATCATAACTACATAATCGTAGGTGACTTTAATTTCCCTAATCTAATCTGGAAGACCAACATACCACTCGCTCTCAACCACAAATCACCTTCTGAAAAATTATTTATCGAATTTATAGAAAGCTATAATCTATTTCAAGAAATCTCTTCCCCAACCAGACAAGATAACTATCTCGATTTACTTTTTTCCTCTTCCGCCTTTCGCGTTGTAAAAAATATTACCATTAATGCCCCCTTTAAAAATTCTGACCATAACACCATTGAATTTAACTTAAATTTTAAATATTTTCCCAAAAAACCAGAATTTATACTTGACTTTCATAATGCCGATTACAATCAAATTAACAATATCCTAATTGGTTTAAACTGGAATACCTTGTTTTTAAATTGCACTGATGTAGACTCCCAATATACCCTATTTTTAGAAATCATTCACCAAACAATCCGAAATTTCATACCGTTAAAAAAGATCAATAAAGACCTTACTAGATTCCCAAAACATATTCAAAAAATTATCTCATATAAAAATCTTTTATGGAAAAATATTAATAAACCTGCTATACGTGAAAAATATATTCTCACACAACAAAAAATTGATAAAGAAATTTCTCGTTTCTTTAAAAATAGAGAAATCTCAAAATTCAATGATTCACGATCTAGATTTCAGTATATAGGGGCTTTCCTTAAATCCAAAAAATCCAAAATTCCAATATTCAACATTAATGATAGACTTACCATTTCAGACAAAGATAAAGCCGAATGTCTTGCAATACAATTCAAGTCTGTCTTTAACTCTTCTAACTTTGATTCCTCTGATATAAACAATCCAAACAAAAACACATTATCCTTTATTGATATCAATCCAGAGGAAATCTATAGCACTATAAACAAACTCGACAATGTTAATAACATATCACCGGACGGCATTCCCAACATTTTCTTAAAAAACACCGCAGTCTCATTAACCACTCCATTAACAATTATGTTTAACATGTCAATCATGACAAGTAAAATTCCATCTATATGGAAAAAGTCAATAATCCGACCTATTCCTAAAAATAATAATCCTAACGAACCTAAAGATTTTCGACCTATCTCTCTCTTATGTTCAACCTCTAAAATTTTGGAACGAATTATTTCAAATAAATTAACTTCATTTCTTGAATCGAATAATTACCTTCCTGCTTGCCAACATGGGTTTCGTAAAAACCACTCAGTTATAACTCAACTCCTAGAAACCTATAATGACTACACATTAGCTATCGAAAATAAAAAATGTGTTGACGTTATATTCTTCGACCTGGCAAAAGCGTTTGATATTGTCCCCCACGATCGCCTTCTGAAAAAACTATATCATCTAGGTATCACTGGCGCATTACTAAATTGGATTGACGATTATTTAATAGACCGAACTCTTTCTGTTCTTGTCGAATCTGAAAATTCTAATGAATATCATATAACAAGTGGAGTTCCTCAAGGATCAATCCTCGGCCCTATTTTATTCATCTCATATATATTTGATATAATAGATTTCTGTAAGACAGATAATGTTACACCCAAATTATTTGCTGACGATTTAAAGGCCTATACCTGCTTTGATTTTCCAAATAAAAACCACTATTCTCCACTCCAAACATTTATCCAAAAATTCTCAAAATACTGCGAAATAAATGGCCTTAAAATCGCTATCAGCAAATGTAGCTCACTCCACATAGGAACTAAAAATCCCTTCCACCAATACTCTCTACAAAACATAAATATACCAATCATTCCACCCAACGAACCTATTCGTGATCTAGGCATTTATTTTACATCAAACTTAAAATGGGATTCTCACATTAAAATAATAACAAATAAAGCAACTGGAATTTATTATACTCTTATAAGATCTCTTAAAACTAATAACACTCAATTCCTAACTACTTTATTCAAAATATACGTCTTACCTATCCTCGAATTCGGATCTCCTATAATTAACCCTTATTTAAATAAAGATATAAACTCTTTAGAAAATGTTCAACATAAATTCTTAAAAATATTATACTTACGCTCTATGAAACACAATAACAGCCCAACATTACCTAATTATAAAGAACTCCTTGACCTGTTTAAACTTGAATCTCTATCGCACAGACGTTTAAAATCAAATCTTATCCTTTTCCATAATATTATCTCAGGCAAAATTAAATTAAAACATGATAATTCATTCAGCATTCTCCCTACCACTACTAGAGGTAACCCGCATAATTTATTTATACCCTTTTGTTCAAGCACCATTCGGAAAAACTCATTCTTTATAGACATCCCAAACATTTACAGAAAACTCCCAACAGAATTACAAAAATCGTCAATCGAATTGTTTCCAAAGCTCCTAAACAATATTAACTTAAACAATGTTTTATCAAAGCCACTTTCCATTCAATTGCCTCCAGACCTTATATAAAACAATTGATACATTTTTATTTATTTTATCTGAATGTCACGTTTTTATGCGTATAAATTGAATTGAATTGAATTAAAAGCAATGCCTAAATATTTTCCTTTTAACAAAGCTCAATCTACCTTATTTATTTATGGGATACTTAATCTTTTTATTAATTATTCATTTACTAATTTAAATAACCAGCAGTATTTTTGCCATAAAGGTGGATGTACTTGTAGTTGGATTTACTGGAGATTCTGTTCCTGGCCTCAGTCATTAATATTTTTTATATTTGATATAATAATATCATTTTAGTATTTTTGCACCGGGATTTAATTTGACACCCAACAGATTTAGTGGGTACAGCCGAACGCCAACTTGGAGCAGTTCTGGTTATTTATTAATTACTAATTAGAAGGATACTCTCCAAAAATACATATTTATATATCTACATATCTTAGGGTGCCGATGCATTTCGCCTGATTGTTCAATAACCTTTGATTGTGAATAGATCTTGAATATCAATTTGGAATATGTGCCAGCTACTTAAATCATGTATTTGGAAATAGTTCATAACTCTATTATGTTATATAATTTTATTATGTGATATGTATGATTTTAATATTCCATTTCTAAGCACTATAGATAAATCAACTTTATAATTCGCATAGACTTTCTGTCAACATCAGAAAACTATTAAAATTTTTCTAAAAAATCTGATAAAGTTTTGAGCCTGGGTCTTTTAAACTATTTTAAACTCCCCCACATTAACATATTATAATGTATTTGCTTTACTTATTTGGTATTCAATCTTTCTTGAGGCTTTTATTACTTTTTTCAACGGGAAAGAATAGAAGTGCAATCCAATACGTGTTTTGAAGAAGTTCCCACAGACTACCACGGTCGAGAGTCGCAATAGGATTTGGCCGGCATGAAAAAAATAATTGAATTTGGATTGATTCTTTACTTTTATAGCAATAAATATTTCTGCTAGCTTGTTTGGGAATTGAGAAGAAAGATTTATTTATTTACTATGTTTATTTATCTACTCCCTGATTTAAGCTTAAATATTTTTATTTAAAAATTTTTTGATTTTTTCTTATTTATCACATAAATTTTCAAAAGCTCAAACAATTTTTAAGCTTGAATAAAATGATTAAAAATGGGGCTAAATGGTCCTTAAGATCTAAAACAAAATCAGCTTCATCTGTACCGATAGTAAGTCCAGTAATTAAACAGAAAACAAAGAAAGGTCAGAGAAAAGGTGCCCGATCACGGTAAATATAGCGAAGATATTATTAATAAAATCATGTTCAAGCAATCATACATTGGCAAATTCAATGCCAGCTGTTCACATTAGAACACAGGTAGATATATAATATCCCTGTTAAACATTTTGTTAACAAATATAGGACATGTTAAGTCCGTTGGAACGTCAGTTTCTGGATGCTGCTGAAAAAGGCAATCGACCTACACTTGAATCCTGCTTGCAACAGGCTTCTTTATCAATTTGAATATTATTTGAATAGGCTAATTAATTGAATATAGGATCCAACTAAAAATATTATTAGCTAATTTTTTTAATCGTCAGCTTTTTAGCGAAACAGAATCCCATTAAACATAAATGCCGTCGACGCAATGGGTAGAACGGCTATTGAAATCGCAGTTGACAATGAAAATCTTGAGATTGTCCAACTTCTACTGATGCAAGTTATTAATATTTTTATTATGAGAAAAAATTTATCAAATTAGCCTGATGTTCGGATAGGAAATGCTCTCCTGGTAAGTTTTACCAGTATTCAGAATTAAACGCTATGTTCTCAGTGCTCGATACGAGAAGGAGTTTATGAGCTTGCTGAGGCACTTATCAATCATCCTTCAATCACTAGTAAAGTTTAAAGCAATAAATAGAGTTTGAACTCCCGTAATAAATAAAAGAGAGTATTTAACAATTTCAGAGGAAATGCTAGGAGAAGGATGGGCTAAATATTTGGATCCATCTGAAACTGCTACGTCCGAGTATTCCAGGTTCTTGTTGTCCTTTATTCAATGAATAAAATACTCTAATTAATGTACAGTGACATTTCGCCGGTAATTCTAGCTGCTCATCTGAACCAGTTTGAGATACTCCAAATGCTTTTGCGTAAGGATGCTATTATCGAGAAACCACACAAACATTATTGGTACATAAAATAATTATAATAATATTTTATTATTCCACATCATAACCATGGTAATTATCTTACAATTCATTAAGTTCTTGTGAGGCTTGCGAGGAGGAAAGGATCAGTGATGGATTGCATAGATCATTGAAACGAATTAATACGTTTCGTGCTTTGGCCAGCCCAGCTTGGATTTCTCTGACCAGCTCCGATCCTATCCTTTCAGCCTTCAAACTTAGCAGAGAATTACAAAAGCGTGCCAAAGTCGAAGATGAATTCAAGGTTGCTTATTAACAAAGCCTTTTATAGGGCTTTTTGGCCAGACCTTGCTATAACCTTTAATTTTAGGACCAATATCTGCAACTATACGGTATTTTTATCCCATTGCCAATATTGTTTTGTTACCAGAACAATGCAAGCAGTATGCTGTTGATTTATTAAATCAATGCCGTAGTACAGAGGAAGTTATGGCTGTTCTAAATAAGGAGGACAATTTCTGTAATGAAGAGGTTCATATGGATAAAATTCTCATAGGCGATTTAAAATTTGTACAGATTGATTTGAGTTCTGCAAAATGTTCTCTAGCTCGTTTGAAGCTTGCAATTAAATACGAACAGAAAACGGTACAAACATTTTAGATTTAGTTTAAAATTTTAGTCTATATCACTAAAGTTTGTGGCACACCCCCACTGTCAGCAATTACTCACGTCAATATGGTATTTAATAAGTTATGTAATATTATTATTGTAGTTTTGAATTTTTAGGTATGAGGGATTTCCTTTAAAGCAGCATAGGTCGTCATTTTTTGGAACCCTTGTTATCTGTCTACTTCTTGTAATAAGTTGGCCCATACTTGCAATTTGTTATATTTTGTTACCTAAATCACGTATTGCCGAAATTGTATGATTCTTTTCATATTTTTTGTCTAAAATATTTTAAGATGCGTTCACCGTTTATGAAATTCCTTTATTACAGGCTAATTTTTTCATAGAAATATATCAAAATCGAAGTTTAAATTTTAGCATTTCGTTTGGTTGCTTTCTTACATTGCTGACATTGGTGTTTTATATTTTTAGATTACTTAATGAAATAAAAATTTTCCTAATCAGGTTACCTTCGAGGCATATCGAACACAAACTGGAGAAATAAAAGGGGGCGGGTTGACGCGGGTAAATTTCGTAAAAATCAGAAATACTGCTGCGTTTAGGCAGCAGATCGTGGTCCCCCACCTACCGCTATAGAATGGTTAGTATTTATTTGGATTGTTGGCATGCTTTGGTCTGAAATGAAGCAGCTTTGGCAAGAGCGTTTAAATAAATATGTGCACCAGGTTGTTCGAATTCTCATATCCTCTCTGAAATTAAATTATCAAGTGGTGGAATTGGTTGGATTTTGCAATGCTATGCCTATATCTTTGTACAATCTCAATAAGAATCTCCGCATATTTAATTTATGTTTTGTGGAATTTTAACGAAGAAACAACACCAAGACATCTGATTCGCACACATTGGGATGCTTATGAGCCTATGCTAGTAAGTGAAGCACTCTTCGCTGTTGGAAATGTATTTAGGTCTTTAATTAAAATAATTTGTAATAATTTGTTGCTTCAGTTTTGCCCGAGTTTATTATCTATTTCAAACTAATCCTTATCTTGGACCATTACAAATCTCATTGGGCTGCATGCTTGTCGACGTCGCCAAATTTTGCATAATTTTTATACTTATTATCTCATCATTTTCAATCGGTATTTAAATTAACAATAATTAAAACATTAAATTTGGATTCTAATTTTCAGGCTTAGCTCAATTATACTGGTAAAGTATCCAAATTTATTTAAGTAAATCATCTATTGAAGGTATTATGATGCAAATACTCCTGTTTGCATTAAAGCAGGTCAATGTAAAACAATGCCTAATGCATTTTCCTCAATTGCAAATTCATATATGACACTACTCTGGTCGTTATTCTCAATAACAAAAGTTGAGGATACTGACGTATTAAATTTTAAAAATTTAATTATTCTAAAAGCTTTAATCAATTATTAATTGAAAGGTTCTTGAAGCACACCATTTTACTGTATGGGTTGGTCAAGGGTGCGTATATTTAACTTTAAAATATTAATACTCGTGTATCCCGATCCAGACTTCCTAATTCGGGAAGTATTACAAGTTTTAGAGCTCCCGATCCCAAACAATGTCATTCCAAATTTTTACTTCCTTTAAGGCTATTCATTCTTTATCATATGGCCTCAATAATTGTGTTGCTGAATATGCTAATCGCTATGATGTCTCATTCATTTGAAAGGATAAATGTACGTTTATTACAAAGAAATTTTGATGGAATTTTTTAACATATGTATTTAAAATAGGATCATGCTGATCTTGAATGGAAATTCCATCGTAGTAAGGTATTTTGCATCGATATTTTTCTTAGATTAAGTACATCCATTTTAGCTCTGGATTGCCCATTTCGATGAGGGTTTGTTTTAATTTTAGCTTTAATTTTTTTCATTAAGGTTCAACATTATCTCCTCCATTCAACATAATCATAACACCAAAAGCCTGTGCTAAAGCTGCGCGAGCAATTGTAAAATATTATTTTACATAAAAATTAAAAAAAATATATTCAGGTAAATACGATACGATGGTGTTTTGGGCGATATCATTACGACATTAAGGATGACAATAGAGCTACAATTCGAGTTTTTAAAGATTAACTTCAATTTAAAATAAATACTTTAGCGCCCGGGATACAGTAGAAAATCGCATTGTAGCATTCCGATGGAAACGAATGCCTTGAAGAAACCAGTTACTTATATAGAAATTATACAAAGACTTGTTTCTAGATTCATTCATGAACAGGTTTCTGTTTTTCATGAAAATTTTAAATTTTTAAAAATAATTAACAGAAGAAAACAATGAAAATGGATGGGGTTAATGAGGATGAACTAAAGGAGATAAAGCAGGACATATCCAGTTTACGCTTTGAACTTCGCGATGGTATTAATTAATAGGAACCAAAAATTAATTCATGAAATAATAAATTTTAGATAGGCGAAAAGAAATAGTTCGTTCATCTTCGCATATTGATGCTGTAAAGCGTGAAATCATGAGAAGTTAGTTTTTAGTTTATACACTCCGTTATTGAAGGTGCTGAGCCATGGATGTGAACTTTAAGATTTTTTATACTTTTTGGGGTAAAAAGTAAGGTTAAAATGTAGGGACGTTATATAAACTAAGTTACTGTATCGGAAACTATTGGACCATTTTATAAAAATTTTCTTTATATTCATGTAGGTATGAGTACTTCAACACGAGCACGTGTTACAATGCCAAGAAGACATTTTTCCTCGTTTAAAGAACGAGGAGTTGCAGAACTAGAATCAGAGGATTCTGATGATATAGAGATAAGGTTGAGGAGTTTTAAATTTATTTTCTTCCAAAAATTACAAAGAAATTTTTGTAAATTACTCTCAAATCTTTACACAGAAATCACATTGATTCATTGTCCACGTTTGGAACTGGAGCTACTCTTTCACCTACATTTTCTACTGCAGCCGCGCAACTCCTACCACCAGCCATAACTGTTGGTGCCTCTGGAGATGTGTCAGATGGAAGAAGTAATGAACATTACTATATGAGTGATAAGTTTAATTATGCGGAAAGACAACGTCCAAAACAGAAAACCAGTGATGCTTTTGAATTTTTTGTCGGCGAAACAGGAAGTCTTCGATATAGGAGTCGTACAGAAGCCTGTCAACGGGATTCTATTCGGTAACGGAAGAATCCAGTTAATATTTATATTTGATATTGCAGTTCGGATTCAGCTATGAACAAAAGGAAATTGACGTCTACAAAGAAATGTATGCTAAGCTTGAATCCTTCAAAATAATTTTAATGTTTTAGCAGTCAAAGATAACACCTCTTCGATTATCTCAATAGAAGTAATACATCGTTTGCGAGAGAGCATCAATGAGCAACTAAATCATCTTGTCGACCAAATTGAGCATCAACATGCTTTCCCCATGCATGGCGATAGAATTAGTTTGGAGGAATATTGCGAAAACGAGATTGAGCAGGATGATAATGGGAAAAATAGGGAACCAGATCAAGAAGTAAAATTAAGAGAAATACCTAGTGGGAAACAAAAATCATCGACCAAAAGTTCGCCATCACGCGTTTCATTTGCAGGTTCACTAAATATTTCGAAAAAGAACGAAGACTCTTGATAATCAGATAAATACCATCAAAATACGGTATAATGATTAAATAATGAAAATGAATATTCTATGATATTTTGTGAATTTATCTTAAATGAAATTATTTATGACTTATATGAAATATTAAAACATATCCTTAAGCACATAAATTCAAAAATCTTTCATTTTTTGATTGTTTATTGTTGATGAGCTAGCTTCATCTTCATCAACGTCCAATAATCTTTATAAAATTAATGAATCAACTAATATCAAAACCTTAGTAATTTGGTCACAAAAATCCATTCTTTGTTAGTCATTAATTTAAATTCTTTAGCTAATTTAGACTAAGAAAATGTGATTTTGCACTTCTTATTAAAATGGCACTGATTAATTTCACCATTTTTGGAAAAAATGCGAATTATATTACCTACCTTAAATTAGATTCAGAATTTGTAAGTGAACGACTAAGTGTTCTGCTAGAACGATACAAGACGGGTGGTGTATCTTTCTCTATAAGATGACGCTGCCTTGAGTGATAATCAGTTCCACGTTGATTAGTTTTGATGGAGGTAAATGTCGATAGCTGGACACTACTTTGACTTTCACGTACGGAAAAAGCTGCTACTATCGGTCTTTTACAAGTTGGTGCTGCTCTCTTGTAACCACATGTCAGCTGATTATTTAGTTTTAATGTCGAGTTCTTAGACTGAGAATCAACTCTCTCCCTTTCAAATGTGGAATATTTTGCTGATTTGAAGCTTCCTTCGTTCAATGCTGTAGTTGACGTAACTGCTGTAGTTACAGCTGTTGTATTCTTTCTTCTACTTCGACTTTCAACTTCCTTGGTTAAATTTATATTAAAATAACACGAGCTATATTAAACAACCTCTGGAATAAGAGATAACTCTACAACTCTTCTTGCGGCCATCGCTGTAGTCAATGCAACACGATTGAACTGAAATGAACAAAATATTAAATTAATAACATTCATATAAAATATTCCGCTGATAATTGCTAAGACTTTATCAGAGTTGAAGTTGGATGCTACATAAGAGATGTAAAGTATTACCTTTTGCCGTTTAGATAATCCAAAAAGCGACTTAAAAATTAAACGGTATTTTGAGCTGAATATTATATAAACAAGAGTAGATGTAGATGAATTCAAAGTAATCAAAATGTTTGAGATCTATGCATATATTATTTAATAAATTTTTATATTGTTTACCAACCTCAACTGAGCATTCAAACCACTTTAGCATTTTCTGATTCAGATACTCTTCAATTTCCGTATAAATATCTGGGGACTCAGTTACGTGAGATGCATTTGACATATTTTGATTTAAGCTAGATAGTGAATTTAAGGGTTGATCCATTAAACTTGGAGCCTAAAACGTATATTTTTTCATTAGATTTCGTTAAATAAACTCATAGATATTTGAAAAATACCGGTAAGACGTTTTTGTTACTCTCATCGCTAGCAAAGAGCATAATTGACTCGATTATTGAATTAAGAAACGCAAGTCCGTTACAAAGGAGAAAAAGCGCAACTATGGCTAAGAGCATCATTGTGATTGAGCGATCACGAGTTGAGTTGGAAAATTTTGGTTTAAACAGATCTGATGAAGGCTTCAGCATACTAAATCTCTTGTATTATTAAATTCTGGATTATTCTACCTTGAGTAACTGATCTTACTAATTGTCTTGAAAACTTCTGAATGTCTGGAAATTAAATACTGAATAATTAACAGTAAAATAATGACCGTGATTTTCGAAGTAAATGCAACTGCTTAACAATATTTCTGAAATCTTAAAGTTTACAAAAATTTTAAAATTAATCTTAAGAAATCAAAGAATAAGATTGAAAAATTAACCTACTCATTACTTGTCTGTCTATTCGTAGAATAACTTCTTTGCCTCATTCGGCTACTAAAGCGGAGCGCTTGAACCTTTATGAATTAAAGGCCTGGTTAAAATACTAAGATGATTACCATCTTCCAATTAACAGTTATTAATACACCAAATGGTACTATAAACATTAGAATAGTATATGCAATGCATTTCTTTATCAAAATGTAGGTTATGTTGTGAAATGGGGCAAGTTGGATCTGTCTTAAATATTTATAAATGGAAGTATTCCTTTTAGATAAATTAAACCGAGAAATTTGATTAAACCGAGAAGATAAACAGGGCACCACTCCAAGTTCCAGCCATGTAGGAATGTTGATGACAAAACTGAAGAGAATCGAGCCAGCTATAGCACTTTCTACTGGTGCCAACGAGACCCATCTCTTTGCCTAGATGTTTTATTAATTTGTTATGAATTTAGTTAGATTCCTATCAAACCTTGAAAGGATGACACACACCCAGAAAGCGATGAAAACTAACGAGAACTGTCAAATAAACGCCTTAAAAATATAAATAATTCACAAGATGTTGATCTATTTAATTTAAATATTTCAACCGCTAGTCTGAGCAGTCAATGCAAGTGGATACGAGTAACGTATGATATATGGGAAAAAGTCATTCCAGAAAAAGGAGTCAGTCTCTACAACAACTACAGGAAGTACAAGGAAGAAAAAATTGCAAATCAGAAGGAGTAGATCTGCAAAAATTATTAACTTTTAGAGAAAATAGGAATTGAGATCAAGCTACCTGATATGGACAAAACAAGTAAGAAATGGTTTACAAGTTGTTGTCGCATCTCCATGTCCATAAAAACAACAATGTTCATCAAATTAGAGATAATGCCGAACAGACTGAAACCAAATAAATTATGGGGTTAACAATAGAAGTATACAAATCCATTTCTAATTAATTACCTAATCGGAGCATTAGCATAAAAACGATAGCTGCGCTGATCTGCAGAGTAAACGTCTTCTGGACAGAGCGACAGATTTGTTGAAGGTTTTTGTGGGTCAGTTACTACTATTGTTCCCTTCATTATTTTTTGAATTAATTAATTTTTTTGATATAATTCAACTAATTAATTAAAATTTAAGTTTATTTTTAAGAATATTAGAGTTGTGAATTAAAAAAGCAATTATGTTTTAAACAAGAGTTTAAATAAATTCTAGAAATAAGGATTACTCGGATGAAATTTATGCAAGAAAACGTGGGATAACATGGCAAATTTTATAAGAGTAAGATAAAAACGGAAGAGAGCATTTAATGGCGAAAAAAGAAGCATTTTAGTCTTAGCTTTAAAATTAAAAATGAAATTAATCCCTAGATGTACTATGCTGTATAAAAATATCATGACTTATAGATTGGTATTACTTATTTATCTTAGCTTATGCCATATATGAATACGTATTTATTAAAATAAGATGGCATGAAATACACCCAATAATTTTGCTGCACCGGTGTAGCTGCATCTGGCAGACAAATTTTATGTTCTATAAGTTTAATTTCAATTAATTATCGAAGTGAAAAAACATATGTTTAAGCTGTTTCTTGTTGTCTGAGATTGACAGAAAATAATGGGGGATAAAACAAAAAACAATGAATTTAAATTTATCAATAAACCCATCGAATATCTAAAAATATTTGAGTTAATTCCTCAATTATGTTATCCTATACATATGCTAAAGAAAATAAAATCCAGTAAAATTTGTAAAAAATGCACTGGATTGGCTCGAAGTAAAAGAACAAATCCATCATTGTATGTATTTTATTAAAGAGAATGCGCACATTTGACTCCCTCTTTAATAATCTTACTTCCCTTCATCAATCTGGCAAATCCGGCAGCCATAAAAGTGAAAGAAACTATATGTGTATTTACAAGTAATATATTTTCCTCCATTATTGGATTTATAATCCGCAAAATTTATATTATTTTATATCTGTAATACACAATATTTTCTTTTCATAATAAAGATAAATAGGATCCGGAGGTAAAAACAAATTAAAATATGAAGCACTACATAAATTGGAAAAAATATATGAAATTTTTTTGGAAATAATTTTTTCTAACTATTAAAATTTTAATGAATCTTAAGTTTTATTCTTTGTTAAAAAAGACCGAAATAGATTTTTTAGGTTCGAATAGGGGCAATATAGACTTATTGTTTCGACCCAAAAAAGTTTTTGTGCTTATTTCATCATTACTAGTTCGCAAAAAAATATGTAAAACACTAAAAAACACTAATTATTATGAATTTAAGAAGTATATGTATTAAATTCTTTGAATTCTTCATTATAAATTTTAATTAGTAACTTTCATACAAACAAAGTAAATTACATTTAATAAATAATTAATCAAAAAAATATTAAAATAAAAAATCTTTCAAGTTAAAAAGTTGGCAAGTAAGTGATAGTGAAAGTCAATTATGTTGTAGCTGTAAATTTACAGAGATCGGAGGGCATTTTGTAATTTACAAGGCAGTCTCAAACGCAAGTTTCTGATTTGCGGCTAATTCTTCCTCCCATGGCAATATCAGACTAATATTTATATTTTTTTAGTTTAAATTATGAAATGATAATTACTGGATAGCTCCTATCACGACTTAGTTCAGGCATTGAATCTGCTACACTGCGCCCAAAATCCATGTCTGTTTGCTTCAAGTTGTACGGTGCGGCCGTTCTTGGCCTGGTTGGAGGTGGTGCTTGTTGAACGAATACAGGATGTTCGAATTCCATAGATCTTTTTAGATGGATATTGTATCAATTTTAAGATAATTGCTTCTCTAAGAAACATACCTTCCCATATTTGTGATATTAGTTTTGGACGAATTTTGCAATGAATATCGCTCACGATCCAAAACAACTCCTTTTTGTGTAAAAGCAAAACTAAATTTTGATTTAAGTATTTGCTTTGGATTAGTAAAAATTTAAATTACTATGTGGCCAGCATGGCAATTAAAAAGGCAATAAAATGAAAGAAACAAGCAGCCATTTGAAGGAAAAAAGCTAGGCCAACCCTTTGCTGATAAATGTTCAAAATTAAAATTAGTTTCAAGTTTATAAAACCTCATAGGTGCCGACAATACCCTTGATGAAACGATTGTCTGCTCTATGGGAAAAGAAGAAAAAGACACCTTCGGCAACGGATGAAAGAAATGCTGAAGGTGCAATGATTTATAATAAATTTAAATTATTATATTTACTGGTCAACAAAGTTGTAGCTGTAAATAACAATGAAAGAGATGCGTAACAACACCCACAAGCACCAAGACAAATTGAGAAGAATGAAGTGATCAGGGCAAGAGCCTATAACTTTTTTATTGAAAATAAATCAAAAGCGTGCTAGGCAAATTAATTTTTGAATTATTTTAATAAAGGCATACAAGCATTATCAACGTTGAAGTATGCCATCCATAAAATTTATGCCGATTTACTTCACCAACAGGTGAATTATCATCCTCTAGGTCAAATGTGCCAGAATACCTTTAAAGACTAAATTACTTTGAAATCCGAAAAATGTTTACTTATCGTAGTCAAATTTGTAAACACAATGCAAAGGTTCATTCATTGTTGCATATCTAATAGTAGATTAATTTATGGTGATAAGTTTTTTATAAGAAGTTATTATAAAATATAGACCTCCGAAGGAGGACACCACCTCCGTCGCGAGTATGCCTTATGCAGTCCAACCAGAGGCCATGTTCATGAATTGAGTTATACTCTTGCAGATTTACTACCTGGAAAATTAGGATGGTAGAGGGAATGTGAACCAGTGATAAGAGTGATCTAAGCGATCTATCTCTTTCAATAAGTTTTTAACATACCTGCCATGATGGAGTCAAAATTGCTGCAATAGAAAGACCCATTCCTATCAATGTAAAAATAGTAGAGCAGAAAATAACTGCTTTTCGTAATGTTTCTGCCATTTAATTTGCTTATAAAAATAAAAGATTAAGCTTTATCCAATAGTAAAAATTGTGTCGCTCAAATTCAGATTTAAAAATAAAAACACGCCTTTAATTCCTAATCTTTACCATAAATATTCAAGGACGTTTGGCATGTTTCTACATATGAGAAATCATTGTAGAAATCTTCTTCGATAACAGAGAAAAGTAAAAGAATGTGAGTCGTTTGCTAGTGCCGATGTGCGTTTCGTTAAAACCCATAAATTTACCTCGCCAACCGGCTATTTCCAGCCGACGATTAAAACGACGGGCGAAAACGAATTGCCTCCAATTCAAAGCGCATTGATCGAAGGGAAAGAGTTTGTGAGGAAATATGCATGTAGCTGAAAAGCTTATGCGAGGAACAAACATAACTCAGTGAGTGCTAAATAAAGTGGCTTGGGGAAGGAAATAAAAAGATCGAGGGGGATTACATGAGCTGGATTTTTATTTCTTTACTTTTAAGGAAATTAAAATTTTAGACCCTCAGGCTTTCAATAGAGATTAAATCTTTGGTTTAAATAAATCTTAAAATTAAGGTATCTTTAAACAAATGAAAAACTATAGTTTTTCCAACCGAATATTTTTCCCTTTATGGTCATCGGCAACAGCGTGAGCGCTCTTCTTCAATGTTACAACCTAAGGAGTAGAGCGCAAGTTAGCAGAGGAAACGAAGAAAATGGGAGCATTCCATTCTTTACTGCAATAACAATAACAACAACGCATGCATTCCTTTATGAATAAATGCATGTGTGTGACAGCCGCCAGCTTCCCTACTTTTTCCACCTTATTTATACCTCCGAGCAAAGATCAATACATTTTTGGTTCGCAACGAAGAATTTTACAACCAAATAGTATAGTAAAGCAAAAAAAAAATTATTTTTAAATTAGTAAATAAATAAAATATAGGTATGTAACAGGGGTATGCCGAAACAGTTTTTAAAAAGTGAAACACGAAAGGCGAAAATCCGCGAAAGGCGTATAATAGTAAAAATTATTTCATAATTTTAAATAAAAATATTCATTAAAAAGGAAAAAAATGGATATGTATTTTATAAAATTGTTGCTTCGTTAAAATTTTTCTCACTTTTCACCTATTCTTTTTTCATCTAAGCGATTATTATTTAGATTATGAGTTTCATTATCTTCTAAGAATGCTTCAGCCATGCATTGCACAATTTGTATCCATTTAGGTTTTGTAAATTGAAGTCTATATTCTGGCAATTCAGTCAGTTTATGCATATCCTCAATTGTGCGACATTCATTTACTAATTTCTAATAATTTGACAAAATAAAATATCAATCAAGTAATAAATTTGCCTGAAAATTTTGATCATTTTTGACTAGCTGTCGCCATCTCAGCATTTCTTGTTCTGTCAATTTTCTTGTGCCATAACCTAAAATAAGCTGCTTAAATTTAACATCTATTTAACTAAACTAACCACGAATTTTATTGACACATCCAGTTAACACTTCCTTGTATTTTTCATCAAAATTATGTTGTTTTGATGCTGGGATGGAATATTCACCTACAGATTTATCAAATATGTGATCAAAAATTTTGTTTCGATAGAAATTCGAATTACTTTTAAATTCTGTTTTCCTTGGAGTATTTTGCTCGTTTGGCATCATATTTTTTAATTTCATTTCAGCTGAACGATAAATTTCCGTAATTGACCGGCAAGCTGCTGCAGCATTTAAATCAGCATTGATAGCATTATTGTTACTTAAATAACGTTAATATAAATTGTTTTTGATTTTCTGATCATTACGATCAACTAATGTTTTTCTGATCATTTACATATGATTAAATAATAAGCCTTAATTATTTAATAGGAGACTTACTCCCTTTTTTGCAATCCATTCTCATTCCATATAAGTTCATCGTCAGAATTCAAATTATTGTTGCTGTATTTATCATTTGCAGTGTTTATTGTCAAAACTATACAAAATAAACTCTATTATGTATATGGCATTATTTATAATTTACCTCCTCTCGAAATTGTTCCCTCAGTTATGCATCCACTCCTGAAATTCGAAGAAGATGAAGAAAGTTGCTGTTGTTTTTTTCTTATAAGGACAGTCGTCTGATTTTGTAATTTTTGTAAAGAACCAAAATCAAGACGGTCGAAATGCCTTCATGTGAGAATTATATTAGTTATTACGGTAATTCTATAATATATAACGATAATTATTACTCATTTGTTATCCCAAAAGCGGTTGGTTTGTTGTTGTTAGCGACATGGTTCCGCAACTCTTGTAAGTGATCAACACCATACTCCTCGCATGCTAGAATATCTCATAATTTTATTTGTATTTTTTAATTTACCCGGGGACAAGGATACAGAAGAGGAATTATTTTCTAACACTGGAGATGTATGCCTAGAATTTATATGATTGAAACGAGAGTGATGCTGATCAAGCTGATTTTTTGACAAGCGATTTTGCCTGAGCCAGTAGAAAATTGCAAGCAACACACAACCCAAAAAGAAAATTCCCAAAAGAGCTATCTAATTAAAACGAATAACATTAAGAGTTGTTCGCAATGTTCACTTATACCATGCCAATAATAACAAATGAAGAAATGGAACTTCGACGTTTCTCCCAGATATTATTTGAATCAGATTCTGCTTCTTTATTAAAACGTGTAGCTGCGATCTTGAATAGATTGGCAAATGAATTTATAGATTATAGTTTAGTTACCTTTTCTGGATTATCCTCTTGTATCAGATTAGTGTTAATATTTCTCTCAATATCCCCTCCAAATCGAGCTTCATTTTCTGTAGTGGGGATATTGCTACAAAAATTATTATACGATTATTATTATTAAAGATCCTTGTTATTACAAAGAAATAGATGGGGAAGGAATTTGGAAAATTCCTGTCGATGGATTAGCTTTTTGATGCTGCACTATATCCGAAGGCAAGAGCAATGGAAGAGTTATCTGACTGTCAAAACTCGAATCAGCAGACTCTTGTTTCGAAGATTGCCTGAATGATTTTATAATTCTTAATAAAATTCTTCTAACAACTTTAAATTCTTTTCATTTCCGAGAGAGTTTTCAATTAACGCTGTTTGTATTTTTGCTGATGGTCTTGCAGTTGCACTTCGTTGTGGCAGTCGAAACTCGTTTATCTTAGGTAGTCCATAAATACATTTCTTAAATGAGCTACTAAATGAGTTACTAAAAATCACATACAAATTCGTAATTAAGATCTTCTGAAAGTATGAGACCAGGAAAACTGCATAAAAAATTATTTTAATCAGTGAATTTATCAGGACTGTTCCCTGTTTAGAAATAGCTAATTACCTGGCTATTCGTAGAGTATTTTCATATACTCCTAAAATAATTTAATATTTAACTAAATACATCAAATATAAAATCAAGGCACCTGCAGAGATCATTCTTGTAGCGCAAGGATCATTAGGTAAAGCAATTTGAACAACATATCGTAGCTCACCGTTACCTTTTAGCCTGCATTCTGTACGCATGGTGTTACCAACCTTAAATGGTTAATAAATTCATAATTGAGTTTAAAAATCCAAACAATAATCCATTCGTGAAATTGTCCTTCTGGGTACATTTTCTGGTTGAAATGAATATTAAGTGTGATCATTTTAGGTCCACATTCAGCTGATACTATTTAAATTTATGAAAATTACTAGATAAATAAGACTAGATCAAGAGATTAACTTACTCTTGACTTTATCTTCTTCTGCATTTCCCGATAATATTGGAAATATTTGTTGGGCATTAGCTTGCCTTACACTGTTAAACATGCTTAATTTCTGCTTATCAAGGTCAAATAAAAGTATACTGAATATGTACATTAATTCATAATTTTTAAAGACCATCTCTAAGAAACTTAATGAAATAGTATATTTTATAATTTTGAATTTTAAAAGTTTGAAATGTTTTGGGATGTAAAAGATTTAGGGTGTAAAAATTAAAATTCAAAATATTAAAAAAGCAGTATTTTGTTTAATATCCTGCGCGCCAAACCGTGAAAGCTTAGCAGGTTTTAAAAAGATTGACATTAATACTTTAACAATTATTATTACACATTACATTAATTTTATTAAATAATGGATAGGAAATCGCTTATATGAATCGTTAATCCTCAAATATTTTGGGTCCTGCATATATTGGTGATCCAATAAATTGAAAAAAATAATTTATATTACGCGTGTAAAATCAAAGTCTAATAAGGCATAGGTTGATTGTTTTGTCTATCGAGTGTGTAAATAATATAAACCAATATCCAACAAACACAAAAAATAGGCATGTATTCATTCAAACTTCCGACTACTATTGAGCTTTCCCAATTGTTGTTTTCGTGCATTCTTTTCACCCGATTCTTTCTAAGCTCTTCCTCTTCCAAAATAATAATCCACACACAAAAAATCCACTCACATCCAACGTCCCTGAAAGAATTCAAATATCCTCTACCTCAGCTACCTGACGCCAACAGAAAGGCGCAGAATGCAATTTTTGCAAAGCGTGATGGCCACCTAATTATCCAAGTAATGCGCACAGCGATTGAGATTACTAATTAAAATGAATATAAGACAAAGAAGTTTATGGAATATATTGTAAAATAAAAAACAATTTACAAAATTATTTTGAAGTTCAATAATAAACAGTGCTGGGTATATCTCTGGGAGCTAGCTCTGGAGATAGAGTTAAGGCTGGAAAAGGTTGGAGCCAAGTCACAAACCCCCAATACCCAACACTAATAATAAACTGATCAAGATAATGAGAGATTTTATAATAAAAATATCCGATTTTTTTATCAATATCCAGCAGGGTAAGTAGCAGTCTTACGTCGAAAATCACTTAATAAATTTAATAATTTAATAAATATTTAAAAAGATAATTAAAAAATGCATTGAATATTTTTTCCTCAAAAAAACTTTCTTTTATTAAAAACCTGTTCCCGTGAATGAATCCATCGTCCATTAAAATTAGAGCTTGTACAACACTAGCTTGTTTTTCTATTGCTAAATAAAAAAATGTTTTTTAAAAGTGAAATATTGTAAGAAATTTAATAAATTTAATGCAAGCTAGGCTTTTTAAAAATAAAATTTAATTAATACAGGTCATATTTTGATGCCGTGTTTTCACCAAATGCTTTATGATTTGCTAAAAAATGATTAAATATTATATAATCATTTTTAAAGCAAATACATACTTGAGGTACAGTCTTTTCAAATTCTCTGAAATGAGTGTAATTAATATTTAATACTTATTAATAGGGTTGCCAGCTTGCTCGAACCTAAACTCGAAAGATTAAACAAGTCAAACGATCAAGCGAGCCGACGGCAACCCTGTTGATTAAATATATTCACGTACGTAACATGAGGTATAAACTGATTATGAAAACGAGGTGCATCAACTGAATCTTTTACTGTCTAAAAGCGGAAATAATTATAAAACTGTTTATTCTCAACAAAAACCTGATTAAAGAGAAGCGCGCGAATCACAGTCTAAAATTTGAAAGAATGATTTTTATTATCTTTGACATAATGGAGTTAGATTAGAGTTAGACATACCGGGATAACCGTTTACCTTGGGATAATGAATACTTAAGTTTAGATTTACCTAATACCCAATAATTAAAAATTTAAACAATTGGTTTAAAAATATTAAAGATTTAATATTCGATAATTACCTGTGCAATTGCTGATATGATCCTTAAAATATCATCTTGATTAAAGATATTTAGATAATTATTTACCTAGACCCTCCCGAAGCACCAATTGCCATTTTAACCTTTTTTAATAGATATAATTAAATTAAATGTAATTCAAATTTCAACCTTTCCGCTATTTTTGTTGTAAATTACCTATTAATTTTAAAGCAACAATATTTAAATATTAATTGATACTGTGGGGCTCATAGAAGACATTGGCCTTTTTTTGGGTAATATAAAATTCTCAGGCGATGGCGAAAAGCCAAAGGCATTGGTTAAATTTGGTGAGCTAAAATATTAGCTATATAGAATTTATTTGATCACAGAAATGTATGTAAATTTTTAAGCACAAATTCAACCTGAAATCATCCATTGAGTCATTCCAAATTATGCCTAAAATACTTATATTGCTAGAAATTTGACTTGAAATTTTACCCAAGGTTGGAGACATTCTCTTCGAGCCCAATCTTAAATTAAGGATATTTCTATTAATAAACATCTGTTAATATAACAATTGATTAATTGAGCTAGTCGCCGAAACGGCATTTCCTTCATGATCAATTGCTACAACATGTGAAGTTCCTAAGATTTAAAATTCTAAACAAAAAATATCGAGGTTTCAACCATGATCAGGTACATGGCCAGTCAAGTCTAATGAATAGTATTTCATTGGCTGAGCTTCGTTTGGAATAAGCGATGCTATCCATTTTGCAAAGGCACTTAATCGCAAAGTTTAATTTTTATCTCACAGAGTTTATTTTATTATTAAGGAGATTATTAGACTTTAGTGCTTAAGTATAATATGTATTTACTGTTTGGTCATATTACGGCTAACATGTCTTGCGTTTTTCACAAATGCCGCATCACCTGCATGGCAATTATTGAGTTATTTATTTTCAACTTTTAATCAAGCTTGCCCAGTTTTGTTCTCTGCGCATAGGCAAACTTCTCAATTTCAATCAGTCGATGATAAACTAGTGGATCGTCCAAGTTTGCCTCTTCATTACGGTAAAAGTCTATAAATTTTGAAGAATTCCATTGAAATTTCTATATTTTACAAACGGGCCATAATGCCGATGATAGATTGAGTGATGGCAAATGAAGATGGAGGCGGTGGGCCACACATAACCAGTTCCTCTGAAAGCAGCTCACTTTCTAACGGAGCTTCATGCAAAACTGATCTAAGTTTTATATCATATAATAAGCAAAAATTTTTTTTGCAAACTCGTATTGCTCGAAATCTTCAACTGTAATATATCCTCCATTGTCTCTAATTTCAGCTGCCAAAGTTTGCGCTATCCCACCTTTTAATAATATGTATTATAATTAATCATAAAGAACTCAAATATGTATGTGATATTTAAGAGTACACCTTTGTAAAACAATTCAACAGGATTTTGTGAATCTGACAACTCAACCAGCTTTTAATTAACAAAGTTTATTTATCACTGAAATAATTTATAATTTTTCTACCAATTCTGCCAGACGCTCCCGCTTCATCATATCACCCTCTTCGTAGACTCGACCCGTTTTCTTGTCAACGAACACGCGACTAAATTTATACTTTATATAAAAGTATTAATCAGATAGCTGACCGCATGTCTTCATCTTCATTTATGTCACTTTCTTTCTGTTGCAAAACCATTGCCAAGTTGGATGAGACAGGAAATCCCTCCCTCGCCAGTTTTATAGCCGGTTCAAATATCCTCTTCCAGGATACACGAGATGAACCAAACTTTGTAAACGCAGACCAATAACCATGTAATTCTCCTGGTACAGCAATGGAACTGTGAATGAATTTAAAGAATTTTAATATAGTATTTTTAGTACCGATATCCAATGATAGATTCTCTATGATCACGCTGATACATTACTGAATTTGACTTAATAGGCGCTACTTCCCGAGCGTCTATAGTTTGACAACGCTGCAAAATATGTTCAGAATTTTCAATAAACTATATTACTTGAGTGCTTGTATTGTATATTGTCATAAAAAATCCGCCTCCAAGTCCCGAGGATTGAGGATTAATGACTCCGATACAGAGAAAGCTTGCTACAAAAAGAATAAATTATTTGAATTCAATTGCTAGCCTTGGAATATTTTTCAATACAAATAAGAATTTGAGAATCTAAAAGGTACTAATTATACCGATCATAGCATCAACGGAATTTCCGCCTTCCATCATAATATCTCTAAAATCATGAAAATTTATTCAAATAATTCTAATAATAATTTCAATTTTAATTATTTCACCTTCCAATTTCACTGCAAAGACCTATTAATATTAAAATTTAATTGAAAATAATGTCAGACAAAGCACCATGATCAGTTGCTACAGCGGCACGTCTATATTGCGCATGGAGACTCCCAGAAGGAGGAGGCCATTTTAATGGTTGTGGCACTGAATTACTACTGCTATTCCTTCTGTTTTTCCGTTGTTTAGACAATTCCATCCCATCAACTGATAGTGGTCCAGCATCCCCATCAGTGATTTTATTTTCCCATTCAGAAGAATTCGGTGCTATATCGTTGGAACTTTCAATTGTTACATTATCCTAAATTAACATATTTCTTTGTTTATATTTTTAAGATATTTTGCCTCGTTTTTTAAATTACTAGTGATATTCCCTGTTAGTTCATTCGCTTCATTCGGTCTTGAAAGAGATGAAGATGAACTATTGTTCCTGTTTTTTGTTTGATCTTCTTCATTGCTTTTTAGACTCAATTTTAAAACTAGTATAACAGTTGCGACCATAAATGTAACACATAAAATGCTGATAATTATAGCGAACCATTTGAACCAGCTTGGATAAAATTTTAATTAAAATCTGAATTAAAATACTACCTATTGCTTTGCTCTCGCTTCTCCATTTGGAAGGCACTCGGAGACGAACCTGTTTCTCTTGAGGAATATTCATTTCTCACCCGTGACATTAATATGAAAAATGGGCAAGAAAAATCTTCAAAATAATGGGCCAATTAAATTTTTTAGATAAGAATAAGAGTATAGAATTATAAAATTTAAATAAATGAAATATTTAATCAAATTATTTAAATTTTAAAATCAATTAGAGACAAATTTCATTCAAATTTTTTAACAAAAAGTTGCAACGATTTCTCTTAATGTCAGTCTCCCGCTGCTCATCAATTCATATTTACTTGCATTTTTCTCCCTTCTCACTCTCGACTATTAAAACCTCAATTTAAAACGTTCGTTCGATTAAAAAAGAAATACGAACGAGAGAAATTAAAAATGAGCCCAATCCCCGCATAGGCAATAAATAAATATGTATATCTTTGTAGTATGTCCTCTCAAATTTAGAGTAATTTAATGGTTATTTCGCTCCTAAATTTATGTGCAGGAAACCACTAATTTTTGCTCAATGCTCTTTTTATTTCAACCTTTTTTTTCAATTTTTATTCCAACCTTTTTTTCAAAATAGAAACAACCCCAAGATATATCTAGTGTATGTTTTAGAAATTATGAGAAGTAGGTGTTCACTTAAAAAATTATATCAGAGAGTTGTTGGAGTTACATCAGTCAGGACCGGAGTTCCACGCAAAAAATCCCAAAAAACCTCAAATGGATTTCTAGTTAAAATATTTTATATCCAGTCCTATCTATCCCTTTTTCCAAAAGATAATTGCCAAAAATTGTTTTAAATTTATCTATAAAATCGATGTAAATGTATTTTAATAATAGAGAAATAATTGTTGGAACATCGATTTAATAAAATTTTAGTAAAATATTTTAAAAGATATAAGTGAAGGTATTAGAATTTTTCATCATTCTAATTCAGTTAATGAGGATAGAGGGATTTATCATTATATTAAAAAATTTAATATTTATAAAAGCCCTAAATGCACGGATTCTTCATCCATCAAATTAATTAATGGCACTAAAAATGAAATTAAAATGGTTCTTAATGATTTTTATTTTTAGAATAATCATGGGATTTATTAAAAAGGGATTTCTAGCTGCTTTTCTTGAAACAAAAAATATTCTTAAAATTCTGGTTATTCGATAAATAAACTCGAGAATTTCGAGAATTTAAAACAACAGGTAAACGATTGAGAGAACGCAAACATTTACACTTTTAACGTCTGAAAATTTAATTATTTGTAAATAAAAATGTGCGCAGGATGTAATATATAAAAGTGAAATTAAATTGCTCAAAATATTAAACAAACTTTAACTTGAGTTAAAAAATTAAATTAAGGATTGAATTATAGTTTGAAAAGACGTTAATAGTATTGTTAATAATAATAATGTGAAATTATTAAATAATAATAATATTTAGTAATAAATGCTTAAAAGAAAGTATTGTCAACAATATAACAATAATGCGATAATTTATTACAGCTATTATTTGATTATTATTAAGTATTTATTTTATTATTAAGTGTGCCTTTTATTATAAATACCACGATTTTTAGAACACACGCCCCATGTTATATTAGAGCACATAAAAATGCTAAACTTTTTATTTTTTATTCATTAATTTATAATTTTACAATGAAAAGATCTTTAAGAATACAATAAATTTTGATAATAAATTCGTTTTACTCATGCATTACTAATCTTTTTGGGTATTTCTGTAAGTCGCCTCGACCTAATCTTACCAGCTAGAAGAGGATTTAACGCATAAATCCAATCGAAAACCTTAAAATAATCAGTTAAATTTTATTATTAAATAGGTGATTTTACGCATTCCCCTGCCAAGGGTTGCATGAAAAATGCCCGATTATTTGTATAAACAGAAAAGGCATTTTCCATGCCAACCACCAATTGTTGTCCATCTTCATATTCAATCTTGGAAATTGCCAAATTTATTAAGCCTCTTACTACCTAAAAATTATTGCGATTATTTTTTATTTATAACAATCACAAAACCAAATCTTTTTCATCTCTATATAGCAGAATATAAGGTCTTCGAATAACCACCCATCTTCTAATCCTAAAACATATAATTAGTAATTTTGTGAATTGTAAGAAGTCTCTCACCATTCATTGCGCACTCCTTCCATGAAATTCATATATCCTTTTCTTGAAACAATTAAGCCTACACGCTCTTCTGTTACCTAAAAGTTTAGTAATAAAATTTTAGTGATTTTTTTATCAATTTTTATTTTCAAATTTACATACATCAGGCAAAAGTCTTGTTGAATTTTCATCCTTGAACATGCAATTGCCTGAAGTTGACCTTTTCATAGACGATTCGCCTCCAATTCCCAAATCTGGGGCATTCAGATTGTCAAAGGATCGAGATCTACTCCTCGTTACAACGTCCAAGGTAGCGGGATTGTTACGGCTATCAACACTTCCACCACTTTGAGAGCTTTCACTACTCAGAGCCTCTAACTATAATAAAGAGTTATTTATCTCATTAGAAATTGATGATTAACCTTCTTTCCAGTTGGAGATTCCTTGTTGACAGGAATTCTTAATTTAATCAGATGGATTACTTTCTCAGCAATTTTCTTCTCTAAAGGCGTTAACTTAATTTTGTCTGGAATTTGAAATTTCGGAGCTGTTGGTGTCATCTTTGAAAAATTTTAGAATTTAAATGGAAATAGGGAACATTGCGAGTTACTGGTGTATCCCCACTGCCCAATTTTCTAGAACGCCTAAGTTTAAGAAACAGTCTCATCCGCTCTACTTGCTGCAATTTACTAAGCTTTTCTAATTCGATTTGATGCTCGAGAATGATTGAGTCTCCTCGTGGCCTGAAAAGATATAGGGCTTAATTAGTGCTAAGTTTTGTCATTATACCTCCATGTTCCCAGGTTCTCCTCTCCGCGAACATCTGAAATTTAATTTTTAATCATCAAAAAAGCAAACTAACACGTCGATGATGTATCTAAAACACGCCTTTGTCTTCGACAAGCACCTTTAAATGTTTCAAATTTAAATTATCAAGATTATTACCAGGACTGTTTTCTTCATTTTCCTGCATCAACGTGAGCAAATAAATTCCAGGTACTCGATTCATTTCTTGAAATTCGTAAATTTAATTTAATAAACGTAAAATTTACCAGGACTTTTGGATATTCCCCCAATTAATGAACGGCAAAAGCGACTAGCTGCGCTAACCTTAAAGCTCGGATGAATAGGCATTCTTATTAAATTAATGAATACCTTCGAATCTCTCGCATAAATGAGCATGCAAACATCCTTTGTTATGATGGCTGGTTGTGAGCAATTTTCTAGCTCCATGTAAGCCTACAATAAAAATGATTAACAAAGGTTAAACTAAGAAATAATTCACCGATATTGTCATGTAAACTTGTTCACCATAACCAGAAACGCGATTTAAAAGTGAAGAATTATGTAATGAAGAATCCCATGCAGCTTCGAATTGAAAGAATACACTAAAATATTTTGAATGAGCTCTACTTTAATCCAAATACCGATCATCCATTGCAAATTCCAAATAAGTTCCAGGAAACAGTCCCAAACTGAGAACATCATCATCATGCCCTCCAGCCCATTCCGCAGTGTTTCTTATTCGTCCAACTACCAGCTGATATTTTTTAAGATAAGATTAAAAGGTGAACAAAAGTTAACCTCTTGACAGTCTCTCCATTGTATGTCACCTGTTATTAACATTATTAACCTAATCCCTATTGTTATTTCTAACCTTTTTCGTGACAAATTGTAATTTTTATACGTCTTTGAATCCCTTGATGCAGGAGAAATACACCGTGTGTTGGAAGGCCATTTGCGTGATCAACAATCTATAAATAAACCAAGATTGAATGATAAAAACAAAAATATCTACAGCAGGGTGATATTCTCCATTACTTCCAAATTCGCATATTTCAAACCAAATTAAAAGATCATATTTTGCCACAACTGGGTTTCGTCTTAAAATACTTAATGAACTTTGGAATAAAAGTCATTAATTCAAAAGATACCTAGTTAAAGAATTCCCTGTTGTAAACCTGCTCTTAAGTGGAGTTGCAATGACTAGAGAAGGTTGGAGATTGCTCATTGTTTTTGAGATTTTTGATCAGAAAATAATAAAAAATTATTTAAAGTGAGTAGATAAATTAGTTACTTTTCTTGGCAAGCATTGGCAAACATGCTGCTAACATTAATTTTAGTTAAATGCCCAAAAACTTCAAAAATCATTGGGAAATGTTGAAGATAATGAATGAATGCCGGATTGGCTACAGTTTTTAATTCCTTCAAATTAACGTTAAAATAAAGAATTGCTTAGTAAATTGCACCTGAACATAATTATATCTTAGCGTTCTAGTTCCATCTGTTGCTGTTCCCTTCACTGGTTCAGTTGAAAAAGCTTCATCATGACGATGAAGAAAACTGAACTAATTATGAATATAAATTAAAATAAAAATTACTTAAATTGACAAAAAATATCAGTGTAACAATCGTCTGGTATTCCGAGTAGTTCAACTACAGTAACCCGGAAAGTAAATTCTTGATCTCTAGCAATATGTGAAGGAAATACTGCCTCTAATTCTGTTGATTCTAAAATTGATTCGAATATTTTGTTTCGAAATATTTTGTAGGTACCATTATCAGAGAGATATCCCTCTGAGGGGCTCACAGCCACAGGCTTTGCAGCTGTTACATTCATACTTGAAGCAGAAGAAACGATACGGCCACCATCACTACGTTGCATGTTTTTCAAAAAATGTTCCTTCCGAAAATACAATCTGGCCACCTGACTAGTGCTGTTACTTGTTGCCTTCTCGACCTCCTTCACCTTTTTACTGTTCTCCAACATTTCAACTTTAACTCGAAGAAAGCCGATGACTAAAATCCGAGATATGATATCAGGAATTATTGAAATTTATAGATGATTACCATCGCCTCGTTCATTTACAACAGCAACTTTGTGACTTAATGAAACATCAAAAAGTACATTATTCAAATAAACAAATGCTCTTAAAACATATTTTCATGATTGATATATGTAGATCAAAATAAAAATTACCTCCCAATTAAATGAAACCAAGGAAAGCGCTCGTAAAATGGATCTGTAAAGATATATGGGTTTGACTTTTTGAAAAACTTTTACCAGCCCCAAGCCACATATCATCCAAATTATTATTTTCGTTAATATCTAAATTATCTTCTGAGGTGATCGTTTCCTCCATAATGGGCAATTCTTTTGTTTTCTTTCGCAATTTCATTCTAAATATATGTATAATTTAATTTCTGAAATTAGAGACCTAACCTTTCTGGGGCTAATCCTGCTCCACTTGCAGGAAACATCATGTTTAACAAATCACCTACGGTTCTCAAATCAGGACGTTCAGGAGTGGCATCGTTTACATCGGCATTGTACAAACGTCTCATATCTTCTAGTCTTGATCTGATAAATAATTAGTTTCCTTTTCCATAACAAAAACTATTTACTTAAGTTTTTCTAAGCTCCAATGATGAATAGCACCGTTTTTTAAATCTCTCACTTCCACAGCGACAACTAAAAATTAGTTGTTTTAAAATTGATAATACGTTTAAAGAACCAGTCTTGGGATAAGGCCTCAAACTCAAATTTTCACCGGGTGGTAATAGTTCAGGTGGAAGAGGGCTGTACACTAAAATTATAAATTTAAATTAATTTTCAATCAAAAATATTATTCTCGAACTTGTATCAGTTAAAAGAACAAATTGATACTCTACTCCTTTCCTCAAATCAATCGAAATGGCATTTGCTTCTTCTGAAAAGATTTTGAATTTTAATTAATTTCAGGTAAAGCTGTATCACTAAGAAAAATGGCATTTCCCCAGAGATCATCGCGAACAGAAGTAAACTGATAATAACGCCATTTCATAGCTGCTTTATGCACCTTTATTGTTAGATCAGGTGTCCATGGATCATCATTGACTAAAAAATTTGGATCTTTCTAATAAATTATGTTATTTATTACCCTCAGCTAGCAGACTTTTGCTTAATATAAATTCACTGTTATTCCAGCTTGAGCAGCCAGAAGAGATAAGTTGACTTTGGGCCAGATCAACTTGCTTTTGTAAGCTTTGTATTCGACTTTCATATTCCTTTATAAATATTATGTATTTGCATGGATAATTATTAAATTTTACGTTATTTCTTCGTTTATGCTCACGTTCCATCTGTTCCATTTCCTTACGAAACTGTTGCTCTATTTCCACAATTTTCTTATCCATTTCCTGTTTCAAGTCAATGCCTTGGCATTGATAAAGCTCGTTTTGAGCAAAGCGCCAGTCAATGGGTTCTTTTGATGAAGCAACTCCGGCTAGGTTATGCTTGCTTTGCCTAACTTCCTGGGGATCTAGAAAATATTCCAGGGACTAAGTAAATTGCTTTAATAAAAACCATTGAATCGAAAAACATGGCATCGACCCAAAATTATTCGACAGCCTGAACTAAGCTTCATAGATTGCCCAGCTTAAAAAAATTTAGGGTTTTATATGATTAAAGTTTTAAACATTGCAACGGCTCTCCATTAACAAAGATTTCTCCCTCGATGGGAACAACGGAAACAGATCCAGAGGAATTGTCAAACTGGCAGTGTTGATTTTTTATATATTCACCGCTAAGCAAAATATCTGGCCTCGGTTTTGCTTCATGCCGTCCTACCCTAATTTTTTTTAATTTATTTCCTAATCATAGGTATATACTACATTGTTATGCCCTCCTTGAGATAATATAGAAGGCATTCACTCATTAATGGATCTTCATTTAAATTTACTAAATGCGGAAGCTTTTTCGGCGAGAAAACTCCAAGTGCCGAGCCTAAAAATTTATTTTAACGAAAAAGATCAGTGCAATTTCATACCATCAGCTGATGTTGCAAGCCCCAACTCGCGTAGTTCTTCCGATTGAAGTTTTCTGAAGTTTTAAATACATACTCTAATTTTAGTATTTTACTAGAAAATCAAACATACTTGAGGGTCTCTGTCTTTTTCAGCTTATCCTCCCATGTCTCATTTAATTCAGCAATCAGTTTTTCTGACGTTTTTAGTTGCTCGATTGTATCCTCCTCACCGGAATATATTTTTGTATCGGGAGAAACCTCACCGTTTTCTCCTACCTATAAAATATATATTTCTACTATTAAGACACAATTTAGTAATTAATTCTCACTTCAACTCCACGATTTTTGAGAAGAGAACGAAGTTTTAATACTTCCTCTTTTAGTTCTCTTATAAGTTTTGCGTTTGGATCTTCATTAACTTTGGCACGGCACATAATCTGTTTGGCACTATCGGCATATCTGTGAGTGAATTAGAATGCTATTACTTGAAGAATTTTGCATTTAATCACCGTAGTGTACTCAGAGTTTCCTCAAAATTAACATCAGCAGGACTTAGGGCAGCAATCATTGCAGTTTTTGAATTTCCTCCAAGAGATTCCTTCAAAAGCCATGTCAGAACAGAATCCTAATTGAGAGAAAAATCAATTTAAATTTCAAATCAAATCCCAACCCGATAAGGTATGACAGCCGTCCTTGATTGCTTTCCTTTCCTCTTTGTTGATTGTTCAGCCAGCTGAACAAATATTAAGATAATTTATTTTAATTATAGTTAACTTTTTTGATAACAAGTCCAAGTGTAGTCAGGCTTTTATTTATATTTGCTCCTTCCTTGAATTTGTCTTTAAATATTCTTGAGGGAAATATTATTAAAATTTTACCTTCAACCTCTGACCTTCTGCGCCAGTTGAATCAGCTCGTTCACTACCTATTTTTATTATAATATCTTGTAAAATATTTATTTCACGAACCCGCAAGGTCAACCAACGAGATCTTGCTCACCTTAAGGAAAAAAACAATTATGTTTTAGTCGAAAAATTTAGACTTTTTCAGTATCCAAATCGTTAACATGCTCTCGTTGAGTGAGCACAATTGTAAAAATTGCGTGTGAACGCGATGATGTTGAATTCATGTTTGTAGCTGCCACTGTTCTTAACATAAATGATTAGGAGATGGGAATATTAGGGGAATAACCTGGCTTTATTGCCAGCATCCATTAATTCAAAAATACTGAAAAATTTTTAGGATTGATAAATTTTAATTTTCATACTCTTCATATGAGCACACAGCCATTTTCTCGAGATTATCCACATAAGGACCCAAAATCGGATGTTCTCGAACTTTCAAATTTTCATTCTTTGGACACAATAAGTCCTTAACCTTTTCACAATAAATTTCCATATATGAAACCTAATAAATAAAAAATTTCAACAAATTTTATTAAAAAAAACTTTTACTTCTACAGTATACTTAAGTTGTTGATTCTCTCTGTTTTCACTAATTCTACTAAAAATTTCGCGGCAAAGTCTTGGAATCATTCCCATTTCTTCAAGATCATTTACTTTACCCACTTAAATAATTAAGAATTTATTTTGTCAGAAAAAGAGCAATCACTCATTGTATACGACTTGCCGGAGCCGGTTTGACCATAAGCAAATATACATACATTGTATCTAAGAATTTAGATTTTTTCATTAAATATTTTTAAAAAATTTTATTTCTGGGAGAAAATTTTACCCGTCAAATGCGTGGTCAAGCATTTCAGCACCTTAATTTGTTTTGAATTTAGAATTAAATATTCCATCAACGAACCAATATCTTTATAAACCTTATCCTGACAAGCATAATTGACAGCTTTCCTGTCGAATGATGAGTAAGAATAATCAAACTCAAAATTGTAGGTTTGATTTGAGCTGCTTGTTATATCTATTAAATGATTTTATACTGACTACAGTGAATTAGAGACAAGAAAGGAAAGATAGTACGACAATATAGAACGTTATCTCGAAAAGGATAACCGAGATTTTGACTAGATTCCCCTCTCATCTCGATCTCTACTGAAAAAACATACATGTTTTTTTGTCTGACATATCGATGACGCATTTCGAAAGAAGTTCTGTAAGGATTAAAATTTACATTCAAATCTTAAAAAAGATTTCTAATAACAGACGTATTTCTCGGCTATTAAATGGCCTAACACGCACTGCCACTTTGACTGAGGACATTGTTTTTAATAATTAAATGTTGTAAAGATATTTAATAAATAATATTTTTGAATATTTCTTTAAAATATAATTAGACAAAAACAAGAATTCCTGAATTCATATGACGTTAATCTCAACATACCTACATTACTAAAAAAGAATTTGAGATGCTCTCACTCATTTGTTTTGGACAAATTTATTTTGCCAGCCGGTTCTCGACTCTCATTTCTTTGAGAGGAGGTCGGAAATAAAAATCCATTAATGAATGCTAAGCAAGAGTAGTATTTCGATGGGTTTATATGGAGAAGTAAAAAATTTAATTATCCTCGCACAATGGCAAAAGGCTGAAACAATTGGATGTGGATAGATATAATGAGACATTCTCTACTTAGCTTAACACCTCTACATTAAATAATGACACTCAATTTTATCAAGGATATCAAAATGTAATTAAAACACATGGAAAGATAACTAAAACAAAAATACAATTCTTGAAATCCAATCAAGACCTTTCTTGAGGTTTTCGGTCTTGGAGTGTTTTTCGGGTCCAGTCTTTGTTTCGGGTATTGGAAAATTTTGGGCCTTGACATCTTTAATAAATACTATAGTTTAATATAATTAAAAAATGTACATATAAAAAATTTTGCTTCAGAAAAAAATTTCATGAGTTACCCAAAATAATGATGCGACTGAAAAAGGACAATGGATTAAATAAAAATGAATATTCAATAATAAATTTATTTTTTTCTACTTGCTAGAATTTACGGCAAAAGATGCGGCTGTCTCTAAGGAAAAATAGGCATTTCTTTTCATGACCTAGCTAGTCTATGCTGCTACAAGTCTTTTTCTCTACTCCCGTTGAAATTTTAGAATTTTATGTGCCAAAACAATCCATTATTTTTTTTATTTCTATTTTACTATGCGTTAGCCAGTATTTTAAATGGCACATGCAATTCTCTTTTTTTTACTTTATGCGTATTGTGCATAAAGTTTTTTGCTTTTATTTTTAAAGCCAGCCCGTTTTCCTCCTTTATACTATTCCTCTTTGGCATGCTATTAAATAATAAACAAAATTTCATTTTTAAACTTGATAAAAATTTAAAAAGAAATTAAAATTCAAAAATTAATACAAATTGTACAAAATAAAAATATTAAAGAAGCTATAAGCGACCCAAAAATTTTGCGGGTTTCATACTCCAAATTTGACATCCTTGCAATAAATAACTATAGCGATCTGTTGTTGACAGCTGTACAGATTCAACAAAAGAGTTCAGGCCCGTTAAACGGGATGTACCTGCCCATCTTGGCATTCCATCATTTTTCATTTCGCCAAATACCTCGAGCGAGTCGCGGTCAATGTAAATATGAACAATGTCAGGACGTGCATCTGCTGCGAGGAAACGACGATTTGGTGGATCATCACTGGATTTTATAATTTATCTGGCTAAAATCCTTAATGACTTACTGCTTTACTTTCACTATTTCAAGCCCATCTTTGCTAACTTTAACTCCCAGCTGTATATAATCCGGATGATTGAGTTGAAGAAAAATTCCATTATAGAAATAATAGTATTCAATTGCCAGACGTATATAGGCCTAGAAATTTTGGACCATTAAAATTGGAAGTTTGATTTTAGTAACTTCCTAACTAACCGTTCCATTGGGTAATACGACAGCATTGCCTCGAAGTAATGCCTTTCCATCCAATTCAATATCACGTAGTTGTCCCAACACATTTGGATGTGGCCCAATTAATAATTGCCTATTATTCCATCTGATTACCCAAGGTAAAGTTAGAGAGGTTGACCAATCCGAAATCCTATCCCAATCTGGCCAATTTGCTAGCCAACCAATAAGTAATGCTTCATCATCGATTGTGTCATAAAAAGCCTAAAATCATTTTATTTTTGATGAGAATGAATGGGGAAATCCAATAAATTTTTCCAGAGATTACTTGAAATCCAAAGGAACCAGCACCAAAATCCAATTCTTGTTCTTCTATTGGATTAAAATTGCTGCCATCAAAATTACCCAAAATAATGGGTGAGAGGTTGGCACGTCCGTCTTCATCTTTACTACCAGTTCGTGCATATAGTAAAGCATATAATGTTTGACTTAACCTTCTCCTTCCACCTAACTGAAAGATCTGACTGCATTCACATACTTTTGTTCCAAATGCATTATCAGTTTTGAGAACATTCTAAGGGAATCAAATATGTGCATGTAATTGAATATCATTAATTATACTTGGAAGATCCATCCGGAATGTACAGAATGCTTTTCTTTTGATCTATAGAGTAGTACAACTCCTCCAGCACCAAGCGTATCACTACTGCCCAATGTCATGTAATAATAGCCTTCTGGGCCAAGAAAAACATTGGGATCTCTAAAGTCAGCTCCTAATTTTAGGCCTTTTTCCTTCAAATCTGGTAGATCACTTATGATAATTTCAGATTCGTTGAAGGGTAATATAGTGTCTTTGGTATAAACAGTTCTCTGTATTTCCGGATTTATTCGTGCTAAATTTTAAGATAACTTGATTTTTAAATGATTAATTTAACTATTATTATTATCAGTAAAGAAGACTTGTAAACCATCGTGTAACGGAACAGCTGAACCTGAAAATAGCCCACAATCTGTACCACATTCTTTGTCATCGGGACGAAGAAATATAGGCTGATGGATCCAGTTAACCAAATCAGTACTGATTGCGTGGCCCCAATACATTGAGTTCCATTGTTTGCTGTGTGGATAGTGCTGGTAGTATAAATGATAAAGACCATCGTCAGTCCTACTAAATCCATTCGGATCATTTATCCAACCCAAAGGAGGCCTAAAATGAAAGCTTTGCTCCATATTCGGGCCCATTGCCAGTTTGGAAATAAAAGCAGGACGAATCCCGTTGCGTTTAACCTACAAGATTCTAATAAAATAACTATTTACAAAGTGTTAAAAGAATACATTTTCAGTTTCATATACGTAAATATAAGAGACATTTGTGTCCTCTTCTGACCAACTAAGTTCAACTCTTCCATCAAAGTTTAGTTCCAATTGTGCAAAATCAAACCATGTTGGTTCACCATTCTCACTCGTATAAAATATAGGTGTAGGGGTTGTTTGATTTGTATTTGCTTTGGAAATATTGGCATAAAGGATGGCGGTCTTAATAAAAAAATTTAAATGCTTTTTAGATATTTAATTAACCGAGCCCAGTCTTTTTGGCTTCAACCAAACATGAATGATCGAAGTATTTATTAAATCAACGTAAACTGAGTAAGAATTCTGAACACACCCTGCGTCAGTTGTCGAACTATAGCTTGTTTCAGTGTTTAATGGTGATGTAGTAGTTGTTTCAGGTTCGGTTATATCATGGCTTCTAAGCGGATAATATAATTGATAAGATTACTTTAAATGAGTCTTCATACTTGATTAGCTGTAATAAACCAAAGGTAATAGAAGCAATAATTAATATAGCACCAAGACCGGCAAAAACAAGCAAAAAGGTTTTTAAACAAGAATTAGGCTTTGAAAATGATTTAGGGGTAGGTGAATCCATTTTATTCAATTATGAAAAATCTTATAAATCAGGGCAATGTTAACATTAATGATAAATTAATTTTTGAAAAACTAATTATGTTAAGGTGTCACTTAAAAATTGGTTTTTAATTGATAAGATATTTATGATAATATTAAAGAATTTATTTGCTTATTCATGAATTCTTGAGTTTCCTTAATTTTTATGCTTAAATCATAAAAATAAAAATTCCTAATTTATGATTAAATGTTAGTTTAGGTATAATAATTTAATATTTTTTATTAAACAATTTTTGATAAAAAAACAATAAACTAGTAAATTGTTAAATTGATGAAAGTCATTCGATCACTTCAATTTTCCCATTAAAAATTATTTGAGCTATACAACAGAAGGAGGCTTAATTATTAATAATTTAATTAAAAATTAGTTCCGAAAGGAATTAATATTACAAAATATCCTTGGGTTGGGAAATTATTCGAGAGTGGGGAATTCGAAGAAGGGGAGTTGATCGAAAATCCAATAATCCAAATTAGAAACCAACCATTTACTTGTTCTGACATTATTCTATAAAATTCGAATCTCCTTAATCCTTTATCCCACAAAAATAGCAAATAAATAATTGCAGCAACTGCCAAAACAATTAAAGCAATATAGGCATCAGAGAATTTTTGTAAAATAATAATAGAAACGAGCACAATACAAATAATTAAGAAAAGTATTGGCAAAATTATTGGGGTTTTAATTATTTCATTGTCTTCGGTATTTAATCCTAATCTATAGAAGCGAATATAAAGGAGAGCGGATAAAGTAAAGCAACGTTGTAGTAATTGGGCAAAACCCATTGAAACAATTAGTTGCTCTATATTGCCAGCAAATGAGAATATGAATGCTAATAATACCTTGAAATTTTGATTAAAAATTATAAATGTATAATGAATTTACGTGAACTAAAAGTGCCGATCTTGGACTTTCATTTTTCTCGTTTACACACGCAAGGAACGCTGGTAAATGGCGTTCACGTGATGCCGCAAACAAGTATCTAATTAACTTTGTAAATTTCGAAGGAAATTAAGCCTAACCTGCTTGCAATAAACATAGTACCGTTGATTGAACCAAGTAATACCAAATTAATTAGCAATGGAACTGTCCAATTAGCTAAACTTTTACCAATAATACGTTCAATAAACGTCTATTGAAATTATTAATTTTGTTAAAATATTATTTAACCATTGCGACAGCATTAGAAACTTTCATTTCATCAGCTGTAAGTAAAGTAAAATAAGCACAATTCATTGATGTGTAAAGTAAAGCAACTAGAGACATGCCACCAATGATTGCGAATGGCATTACTCTTGGAAATTTTTTAGTTTATGAGATTCACGTAAATTTTCACCTTTCAGGGCTCTTAATTTCCTCAACACCCCAATTTAGAATATCCCAACCATCATAACTGTAAAAGCCTCCAAGCAAGGCAGCAGAAATCTGACCTGCCGAAAAGCTGGAGTTGACAAAAAAGTCATCAATCTGTTTAAACTTGCTGCCTGTAAAGCGGGAATAAAGGCGAAATAATACTGAATAACCTTTCGAGAATACTTGGAAAACACCAGCTCCGATAACAAAAGTACAAGCAGTTAGTTTTGCTACAGAAGAAAGCATTTGGAATGGGGCGCCGACTCGTCGGATTGAGAAAAAATTCAAAAAAAGTATCAGCCCTTAATGTCCTCATTTAATTAATTTTAAAGAATATTCTTACAGACAATGGAGAATCCAAATAGTTTATTTAGCCAATAGACATGAGGATTATCAGAAAATCCAAGACCCTGTGAATAATAATGGAGGAAATACTTACAAAACTGGAATGCCTGAACAATGTATTCTCCCGAAGCACTCGCTGCAATTGCTAACTGCATTGAGAAAAGGGCTAAATATACTAAATTTGTCTTCAAATTCGTTAGGAAAATTTAATGACAAATCCAAAATTTTTATCAGATTATGTACCTGCATGGGATAAACGATCACGCAACCAGAGACCATAAACATGAAGGCAATCAAATGCCTAAATATTTTTATATTATAGGACTTTATTTTATAGGACAACCATTTTACAAAACAAAGATATGCAAAATCTCCTCCAGATCTCTTAACAATTGTACCCAATTCCAAGTAACAAAAGCCCCCAATTGTACAAATTACTGCCGACAGTACCCAAATTATGAGCGACATTCCTGCCTGATTGTGAGTTTTAATGCTGTTTAAAACAAAAATAACTAACTGATCCAACTTGATTAGATATAGCTGTGGGTGCAATAAAAATTCCTGCGCCTACAATATTTCCCATTACATAACTTATGGCACCCCAACGACCCATTTTGTTGTCGGATGCCATTAAACTTAAAAGGCTAATTAATAGGAATAGAGACCGGACTGGGAGGGTTGAGATATCTCGATAAATCACTATCTCGATATCAGATTTTTGTTCGTGATCTAATCTCAATCCGGTATATACTATACACAATTTATTAAATATTTTTTTAAAGGAAGTATCATTTAGCGTTTATCATTTTTGAGTGCTCAATAATTATTATGTAATTATTAACCTGGCCCATATAGCTATCAGTAACCAATTATACTTTTATCATTATTTATTTTTTATACAAACAAAATCACTTATAGTTAGGAAAATATGTGTGTTGTACACAAATTTAAATTTTGATAATTGAACAAATATTATTAAAACACTGGGAGTATGGGAGTAAAAATGATGAGAGGAGAAGGCTAACAATGTAAACTAACTAATATAAACTGTAAAAATGATTAAAAATATTTAAATTAGAAAAATAAAACAACAATAAAATTTGAAAATAATTAAAACAAATTTTCGGAAACTGCAATAAGCACCATGTAATTAGCCACCCACTTGCCTAGATCAGTCGATTTCAGTTCCCTATCACTTGTATCATTACTGCTAGTGGATTGAATAGACAAAAGAAATTCGGAACCGGGCAATAAAAGCCTTCGAGAATGTAGTGTTGCACGACCATCATTTTCAGCTGTAATGCCAAAGTGAAATTGTTTTGATCGATATGAGATTGAGTTTTGATCGTTCAATGCGTTCGTATTGAAGGAATTACTTTCGGCACGAATATTAAATTTTGTTCGTTTAAGCAAACGACCATTCTTATCGTGGGCACTTAGTCGAAGCTAAAAAATTTTTTTGTCTAAATATAATGAATTTTTCCCAAACCAAAGCAGTATTGACAGCAACTCCGTTGGGTAATCCTAACATGTAAAGACGTATAGGCAATTCTGTACAATTTTGACATGATGGCAAGCATTGTTGGCTAAAAACAAATTTAGAAATTAACTTGATTTTGAATTAAACTTTGTTTTGTCTAGATGAAATTTTGGAGGGCAAAGGTTGTTAATACAAGAGAAAGTGCCAAGTTTGTTAAAACAAAGCTGATCAGAAACACATGGATAAATGTCATTTTTACATTCATCCAGATCCAAACAGCGTCCATCTTCGCTTAAAGAATAACCATCTGGACAAATACATTTGGATGAGCCATTGTCCAGGTCCTGGCATTTGTATTGGCAATTACTGCTTGCTAGAAATTTTTCATTTTTTTGTATTTGACAAAAAATATTTTACAGCATGAAAGATTTGCAGAAGGTAAGGGAGACACTCTCCTAGTCTCTCGGTTCATAACATTGCTTTCATCATCCATTTTTGGCATGCATAAAGTCATTAAACCATCAGTGCCATTCAATAATAAAGCATCCACATCAGATTCTTCAGTCCAATGAATGTAAGGATCATTGGACTGTTGGGGACGATCACCACGGGCTTTTACATATGTGCTTTTTATTGGCGCTCCATTCTCATCACATTCAACATAGATGCGATCCCTTTTAGTGTTAACACTTCTCTCGCCTTGGGATACTTTAAATATTAACTGATAAGTACATAATTAAGTCAAAACTATTTACGTTTAACGTCAATTTTGCGAATTCCAATAGCTTGACCTGCTTCATTTTTGGCAATACAACGATAAATACCATGGTCATCCTTTCCTGCATTAAGAATTGTTAATGAATGTCCATCATCGGAGATGAAGTATTCTGCAAAAATAAATATTCCTGATTTGAAATTCCCATACTTTTCAAGTCGGCAACAATATCTTTTTGTGGGTCAGAGATTTTCTGCCATGAAATGGTTGGTTTGGGAGTTCCGGAAGCTAGAAAATGTTGAATTAAAATATTTCTAATGAAGGAAATCCTTACAATTACAAGTGATTATAGCTATATCACCACTAAAATTGATAAGTTTATTAGTTAGGGTTGAAATACTCAAGATACCTTTCCACACGTATTTGATCTCGCTCTGGTAGTATCATTGGTCGAACTGATAATTCAATTATTATATTTTAATATAATTAAAATTACTCACTAAGAACAACTAATTCAACAGTTTTGTTATCAATACCAGCCCAATTTTCAGCTTTACAATTATAAAAACCAGCATGTTCAATCTTAATATCGTGAAGGATTGCTGTTGCAGTTCGTTTATTTTCTGAAACAACTACTCCACTTGTAGACTGTTCTGAGCCCGTAACAGCGGTTGGCATATCTGAATGGGATTGTATTTTGACATTTATCAGATCTGTACATTTATTCAACGGCATTTGATCTCTTAACCAATGTATCTTTGGCGGTGGAAAGCCAAATGCTTCACAATGCAGCTGAGCTGTGTTACCACGTGAGACAGCAACTCTAATCCCGTTATTTTTATCAACTTTTGGAGGTACTAAAGATTTTTATAAAAATTGTTAAAATAATATTTTTACTTCCAACAACAACTTTTACTGTAGAATTAACACTTCCTGCCGAATTTCTAACGGAACATGTATAATTTCCAGCCTCTTTGAGGGTAATATTTTTAATTATTAGGGGTTCAACTTCATTATTTTGTTGTAGTTTTTGATTAATTTCAATAGGTTTTCCATTGTGAATCCATTGGATATTATCGTTTTGGCCAGTTAATCTCACTCCACAAGGAATATTAATTAATTGACCCTCAATAATGCGAGATTCCCTAACTGCGGCAGCCTTTAATAATTTTTATTTATGAACAAGATAATTCTCAGACATTATTATCAACGAGTACAGGCGGTACAATTATACTAACATTGAACTCTATATGTGAAGCTCCAGCAGAGTTCGTAGCTGAACAACGAAACTGAAGGCTATTGTCTTTTTGTTGCTTAACATCCATCAAATAAAGCGAAGAAGTTGTATTTGATTCGTTATTAATTATTTTATAATCTTCCTTTCTGAAAGCCATTGTTGATGAATTAATTGGTACAAAGTCCTGAAGGGTTTATGAATTAAACTTGATTAAGAATAGTTAATTTACGTCATTCTTGTTTTTGTCAGCGATACTCCACAGTAGATGAGGTGGAGGATAACCTTGACCTTTGCAAGGTCCCAAAGTAATATTCCCACCTAGAGGAACTGATAACTGTGTTGGCAGTTGAGAAGGCAAAGATACTTTAGGCAAAACAAGTACCTCCCTAAAAATTATTTTTAAATTTTTAAAATATCCAAAACTAACAGCGTAAATGCTTGCTGATCAGTGCCAGCCTCATTTGTTGCCACACAGACATAAATACCAGAATCTGAACTGCGTACATCAACAACCTTATTGTTAATATTTTTAAATAAAAATTTAAATTAATAACTTTAAGAAAGGAATTTTCCACAGAGTATCTGGCACCAGTCTCGACAAGAACACCATTCCTTTGCTAGGCAATAAAAAATTTTTTGAAATTTAGAACAGAATTCTACCCAGGCGATAACAGGTGGTGGTTCACCAGAGGCATTACATGCTAAAACAACATCATGATTTTCGAGTATCTGTGTTGTTCCTCCTCTCAATTCAATTTTGGGAGGGTCGAAGACATCAATCTTACAAAATTAAAAATAAATTTTTTGGGAAGGTCATTATATCAACCTTATATTCAATACTATCATTACCAGCTGCATTAAAAGCATTGCAACGATAAATACCCCGATGAAGCAAAGAAATATTGTCAATTTGAAGGAATTTTCTTTTTCCATTATCAATAGATAAAAATGGTAAGCCCCCTCCATTTTCCAGTGATATTCCATTAAATGTCCAAGTAATTTTGGCATCAGGTTTTGCTTTAACATCGCAAAAAAGTGTGAAAGAACGTCCAAGGGGAAGTCGAGGATTTAATTCAACGGCTTCCTTGTCGATTTTAGGTGGCACTTTTATGGAAATAGGGGAATATTTAATTATTCTCTCAAAGTATTACCAAGTATGTCAATTTTAATGCTATCCGAAGAGTCACCCACTTCATTCTGAGCCTCACACCGATATTCGCCAGCATCCTCACTTCGTAAATTAAGAATTTCCAATCTTTTTAAATATTTTATCAGATTAAGGGAATTAATGCGGACTGACCGTTGTCCACCATCGGAAATTATTAATCGACCAGGTGAGGGTATAATTGTTTGGCCTCGAAGAGACCAATGAATCACTGGTTCCGGATTTCCATTTACGGCACAAAGCAGCGTGAGTGCTGAACCCAAAGGTTTCATTGGGTTCGAATCTTCAACCTGCATTTTTGTAGTCGGCACAACTAATTTAGTAAATAAGTTTGTTGGAATATTTTAAGAATTTTGTTCACCCCAAACATCTAGGCTTATATTTGCAACGCTTGATCCAGCTGTATTTTCTGCTTGGCAAGTCCAAAGGCCAATGTCATCTTGTGTTGTTGGTTGAAGCTCAAGACCATGACCTTGATCAAGTAGACGATAACGTTTGCGAAAATTTTTATTTTTTGCAATATCTACTCCATTCAGAAACCATCGAATGGTTGGGGGAGGGTTTCCACTTAATTAAATATTAAATTGAAGAAAATTGGGCAATTAAAAACACACCTAGCTGGACACCTTAAAAATTATTCTGAAATTTTGGAAATTTTTCGAAAAATACCAAAGCGTGATCGGTCGGCCAGCGATCACATGAGGCTCTGGAGAATTTCTAGATGTATCAATCTTTGGTTTGGCTGAAAATACAAGATAATGAATAGCCATTAGTTAATTCTTCGAAATTTAAATTTTGTTTAAACGCGCTTCGCTTTAAAAACCCGCTTCGCTTTAAAAACCCGCTTTGAAATTTAGGCGGAAAAGAGGAAATTCAAACTAAACTAATGTTGGGTTAATGAAAAGCTCTAGGAAATACTAGTTAATTAAATAAAAAGGGGAGATTTGTGACAAAAATAAAAAAGCATACAAAGAATTTCAACAAGAAACTTGACATAAGATTGTCCGGCTCTATTTGATGCTATGCATTTGTATTCGCCTGAGTCAGATATGGAGGTTGTATGAAGCTGTAATCGTTTACCCGGATATTCGCTTATCTTGAAAATAAATTTAAAATCGAAGATGTCAGCAAATTTCACCTCAATATTAGCATTTAATCCTGGCTCTAAAGGCCTTCCATCTTTTGACCATGCAATTCTCAGTCGTCTTCCATCATCAAAATCCTCTTCCATCCTTCTCCAAATTTCCTCTTCCGTCAAAGACTCAGTGATTTGTTTAAGTAAAGACGCCGATTTAATTTTTAAAGGGCATTCCAATTCTTTTAATTAGTATTGTATAGACTTCAATTACTTGAACAATTACCTAATTGTTCCCCCTCCTGTTTAGAAAGGGGTGGTCCAGGTACTCTACCATCTCCAGGTTTAGCTGTTTCCTCTTCCATTTCTGGGGGTAATAGGACTTCCTTAAATTTTGAAATCTATTTTGTTGTTTTATTTGGTGGTTACTTACAAGTCTAAATTCCTCACGCAGTTGACCAGCCTAATTTATTTTTAAAATTTTTAAAAATATAATCAAGATTTATTGATGTACCTCATTTTGTACTGTACAGGTATACAAACCCTGATCCTCGGGGATAATGTTTTTAATCGACAAAGTTTGATTCTTCTCTTTTAGTATATATTTTTGTGCCAATTGTGTAATTTGCCGTTCGTCCTTATGCCACAATACAGAAGGCTGAGGAGTGCCAGAAGCAGGACACTCCAGAAACATATCCTTTCCAAGAATTGCTAAAGGGCTTGCTACGAGATTTGATTTATCAATTTTAGGAGGGACAAAAACGCGAAGCAGTAAATCCAATTCAGAATTTCCTGCCTCATTAGTTGCATTGCAAATGTATTTTCCTCCATCTGATAATGAAGCATGAAGTAATGTCAGATTCTTTTTATCATCAGAGAAATAAGCATTTTTAGTGTCAATTGGATCAGTTCCATGCAACCAGGTGATTTCTGGGAATGGATTCGCTTCCACCGGACAGACCAAAGTAACAGAATCACCTTCAATAACCTCAAAGTTTCGTTTGCCTTCAGAGGCAAATTCTGGCGGTGCTAAAATTTTAAAAACGATGGAGATATAGATTTAATGGCACTATATGAAACGAGGTCGGTAATCGTTTTTTTCATTACTTTTTTCCATTACTTTTTTCCTTCCTTAATTATAAATAATGGTCAGTCTTTTCTTCCTCGTTCAATTCCACTCTTTTTACCTGTGGCATATTCAAATGAGGACAGACAAAAACACACACACGAACAGACAAAACACGAGTGTTTTCTGTTCGTATCCGTTCGTGCTGTCCGTGTTTTGTCTGTCCGAGTCCGTCCGTGTTTTGTCTGTCCGAGTCCGTCCGTGTTTTGTCTGTCCGAGTCCGTCCGTGTTTTGTCTGTCCGAGTCCGTCCGTGTTTTGTCTGTCCGAGTCCGTCCGTGTTTTGTCTGTCCGAGTCCGTCCGTGTTTTGTCTGTCCGAGTCCGTCCGTGTTTTGTCTGTCCGAGTCCGTCCGTGTTTTGTCTGTCCTCTCCTTTCAATTAATTCTTTTCTCTATCATTTCTTTTGATTATGCCACAGGCAAATATAATGGAATTGAACAGGGAGGAAAATGCTGACCATTCTGTCATATCAATGAAGGAAAAAAGTAATGGAGAAAAGTAATGAAAAAAAAACGATTACCGACTTCGTTTCATATAGAGTCGATTTAATTATTACCGATCACTTCCAATTCAAAATCCGTATTTAATTGACCAACTTCATTAACTGCTTGGCATGTATATCGGCCTGCATCATTCGCACTTACAGCCTCTAGCCAAAGATCGTTTTGATAGTCAGAAATTTTTCCACGAATTATTCGTTCAGTAAAGTGTAATTGCTTTCCATCTTTTAACCATTGGACTGTTGGGGTTGGAAATCCCTAATTGTAAAATATCGAAAATAAAATAAATAATCCCTACAATGACTGGACAATTTAGTCGAATTTCTTGGTTTCTTAACGCTCGAGGATTCTGATCCAAAGTTTCATTGATATGAGGTGGAACAAGTACAGTAAGAGTAAATGTAGCCTCTGTAATTATAAGTTTTGTGTGGGGGAAGGTTTGAACATACCAGCTTCTCCAACGCTATTGTTCAATCGGCATGTATATTCACCAGAGTCACTTCTGTGCATTTACAAATTTCAATTTATCAGAGGTATGATTCTCACCTTCTTGCCTTAACAAGCATCAAGCTATCGCCTCGAGGCGAGAAAATCAGATTATTATTTGAACTAGTTGTTTCTTCACCAATTGGGCGACCTGCACGAAGCCAGGAAACACTGGGTTCAGGATTTCCATTAGCTTGACATTCAAATTTGGCTTGGGCACCTTCTAGCACTCGCAACTAAAAGGCATTTATTAATTTGAAATAAAGTGGAAAAAACCAGTAAATTGGATGGGTTGGCAAACAAAATTGGACGGCGCAATATCTCCAGCAAAAATTCAGCAGTTGCATTACCAGCTTCATTTGAAGCTTCACATACATACCTTAGCATTGAAAGTATTAACTCTCTAATTCTTTTTAAAAATCGCGAATATCACCTGCCAGCATCCTCTGGCTTCAAAGCTTTGATCAAAAGAATGTTCCGATTTACTCCAATGCCTTCAAGATGTATATTCTCATCTTCTGAATTCAGTACAGTTCCATGTGGCATCCTTCTCCAGAGAATTTTTGGAGTAGGTGAACCTTTAGCTGGGCATTCAAATGAAGCTGTACCCCCTTCGATTACGCGAAGCAAGCGTTCGCCTTCATCAATGCTTGGAGGAACCTGTTGAACATTTTTTATTACATAGTTGCTTTACTCCCTACCAAAACATTTAACTGTATGGCCAGGCGATCTTCTCCACCTTTATTTTTAGCAATACAAGTATAACGACCGGCATGTTGCTGTCCGGCAGCATGGATATGGAGAAAGTATGAGTGTTCAGTGAAAATGGCATGTTCCTCAGTTTGTTTATCTTCATCCTGCTGTTGTTGTTGAACAGCTAAAGGATCGTTATCACTACTACCGGATTTACGCCATTCAACACGAGGTGAGGGATGACCCCCAACTACACATTCCAAACGCTGCTCCGATCCCTCAACCACGTTTAGTTCCGTAGCTGGTGCTCGAATTGTAGGTGGTCCTATATATAAGAAACATTCTAAATGATATGTGTTGGGTATTGACAGACCAATTACATCAAGAAAAATATCCATATCAGAATTTCCAGCTTTATTTGTTGCAGTACATGAATATATTCCAGCATTTTTCGGTTGCACTGAAAGTATGTGAAGTTTAGATCTTCCATTTTCGAAATATAAGCTAGCGGAATCTTCAGATGAGAGACTTCGCCCGTTATGAGACCATTCAATCCTTAAAATTTTTAAAATAATGCCAATAAAAATTTTTGAAATCACTTTGGAGTAGGAACTCCACTGGCAATACAATCTATCTGAACACTATCATTAACAAGTGCTTCTAAAGTACGATAGCCATGTGGATCCTCGATTCTTGGAGGAACTATAAATAAAATTAAATTAAGAAATTAAAGTATTAACACCAAGAACTAGAACATTAATAATAGCTTCGGCTAAACCAGCAGCATTTTTAGCTATGCATTTGTAGGCCCCAGAATCCATTCGTTGAGCCTTCATCAAATGAAGTTTTTTTCCTGACATGGAACGCTATAATTTAGTATGAGAATGATATTGATATGAGACTGATACTTGGATATGAGACTGATATTGAGATTGCTGCTCAATGGCATTACCAATCGGCATTTCATCTTTAGTCCAATGTAATTCGGTTGTTGATCCGCCATCATTTTCTAATGGGCAATCCAAGGTATGGCTTTCATTCTCAATCATCTCGATGTTTGTTTGATCTAATGCCATTACTGGAGCTGCTAAAAATCAGAAAGAAATTCGATGAGATAATGATGAAGAAGTAATTGATTCGTTCAGCTTAACTCACTTAGTAGTGAAACACTGATATCCTTTTCAGCTCGCCCTGCACGACTTTCGGCAAGGCAGGAATATCGACCAGCATGACGCACATCTACTTCAGAAATATGAAGAATCTGATCATTGTCTATAAGTTGATACAAAGGTTCGGCATCCTCTCCCAAGTCATTCAATGAATCATCAAGTTCTAATGGTTTATTGTTCTTAAAAATATGATAAGACTGCGTTAGTAATAATTTTTATTAAAGTAATTTTATTTTCACTTATTTTTGTCCATAATTAGACCAAACATTAATTATTATTCGCATAATTATAAGTATTATCAATTAAATAATAAAATAAGGAAACTAACGACCTCCATAATTTTATTAATTATACATATGATATTTTTCATTCATTCTCGATAATTTTTTATGAAAAATAACATTTTAAAATGCAAAATAGAGGTTAGTTCCATTTATATTCTAATCTATTTGACAATCCAAAAACGTGAAAAATATATAGTCTTTCCAGCCAGCCTCTCTTAAAATAGTTATGAATTGTGCAAATATTTGAGCACACCTTAATTGTACATTTTCACTTTCTTTACTTTATTGATCATTATTATCAATTCTCGCCTTTCTCGCGAATTTTTTCCAATTTTTAAATATTTCTATTAAAATCACGCGCAGATTATTCCGCAAATATTACTCAGCTTTTGAAGCATTCTAAATACTTCAAATTAAAAGACAAATATGATCATAAAATATAATCAGAACCCAAGTTTAGCATACAAGTTAAGGCAGGCGTTTAAGGTTGTTGGCACCGATTAATTCTTGACTATGGCTGTTCAAAAGTTCATATTCTTCTCTATTTGACCCACAACAGAGAAAAATTAACCGGTCGCCAACAACTATACCACGAAGCAATTTTCTGCCTAATTCCTTTCTGTCTAAATCCAAGTGTATCTGTCAAAAATTCCATTGTTAGCAAACAAAACAAATACCCATGAAAAACTGATATGTTCACCTATTTTTAAAATATACTCGTGGGAAACTCGAAATAACATTTAAAATTTTTATAAAAGCATTTTTTTGCTAATTTTTTTGCATCATTTTCAATTTTATTTCACTTCCCTTTTTCCCTCATAATAAAATGGATGTTTGGTGACACCCAATTCCTCAAATAAATTTTCCTCATTTTTCATTTTAATTTAAATTCAAAGCTGAGATATTTTAAAGGACAAAATTATCTTTTGGAATTCCTTAAAAGAACGTCTCAATTTTAGTAAACAAAAAAATATATTTTAGAAAAATTTAAGGTAATTGGTTAGCTAAATTTAAAAAATAAATACTCATCCTCTTTTTTAAAAAAAATTCCAATTCCCCTTCCTTGCTCATTTTAAAATTCCCCCTCTCTCCAAACAAAATCCTATTTTCCTATGTGAAAAGCTAGTAGGAAAATGGCACTTCTCTTTACTGCACATATTTTCTAAACCAATAATTCTCCAAAAAAGCTCATTTTGGCTATTTTTTAAATGTAAGGGGCCATTCATCTGGCCCATCTCTCGGCTGCTTCTCAGTTGCTGTGCAATTATACCTTTGGGAAAAGATGTGTTTCCTTCCAATACCAATAAAAAGAGGGCGGTTATCAAGACTGCAGTTGATGAGCAGACTGGCATTTGTGGGCCATAGGAGGGGTAAATCTATCACTCGCCTCATTCCCTCAAAATTTTTTATGGGGCTAAAACCTCCAATTCATTTCCTATCCAAACCATTATCACTATTCGCTTTATGTAAATCGCCTTAATGTAAAAAATCTTTAAAGTCGGAAAATTAAAGGAGAAAATATCCTCAATTTCAATTAGCCAAATTGCTTTTTTCCTACGTAAATATTTTTAAAAAAACCGACATAAATTCAAAAAAACTAAATATTTTTTCCAATTTTTTACATCATTTATTCATCATTCCCCTCTTTGTTGCAAATATTTTGTTCAAAATATGTTACAAAACCTTTTCTTTAAAAACCCCGACAATTTCAAATGATGGCCAAAAAACCTTTAGTAAAAAATGCCCAGGTGACCGGCTGGCAAAAACAAAGTTTTTTTTGTATAAGGATAAAATTCTGAATGAACGAGCAGTAGGTTTGAGAGAATAAACAGATGGGTAGTAGCAGAAAAAATAAATTATAAATAGATAGTGCAAGAGGTATGAAAGAGGTAAGTTGGGGAGGAAGTACTAAGGAAAAAAAACTTTTGTGTGGCCAATATATAACAAAGCTAACCAATTGCCCCTTTCATTCTTTTATGCCTTGAGGCAATTCTGTCCATATGTATGCTTTTCACAGCATTAATATATTTTCAAGTCCCTCAACTTTATTTTCTTTTTTTTCTTTTCATCACAGCATTTTTATGCTTTTCCCTCCTTATTTCAACATCTGCTTTTTGCTGCCAGATGGCAAAGAGCCCTGCTTGTCCTTCAAACTTGAGGGATAATTCCACTAGTTGCGGGGAAATAAAGGAATTTACAACATATTCTTTTTTGTTTTTACCTTCCAAGACAATCAACTAATCTTGATTTTCGAAATTTATACGACATTCTTTTACTTATCACTGTTATTTCTTAATTCTTGTAAATTTCTATGACAATCAAAAACCCTGAAACAAACTAACAACCCCCTCACTTATCATAATTTATCAAAATATTAGGGTTGTTCACAGTTGGTTAATCGAAACCGAAAACCTGAGGTAGAACCCCGGCATAACCAAAAACCGAGGATACCGTTTACTAACCGATAGTGAACAACCCCCCCCCCCTATCATCATTTTAGTATCTGTACCTAAAAATTAATCTAGTAATGGAATACTTTTAGAAGTAAATATTTGTCATATTCTGTTATCCATAAATAAATTCAACCCTCCCTTCCCACTCAAAGAAACTTGAAGCCTCCATTAATCCAAAATAACATTTGACACGCCGCTCTTAGAGGAAGCAGCTTTGAGAGGTGCAAAATAGAAACGGAAAGGCGCATCCTTGATGCCAAACTTTTTTTTGTTTTCTAACACTTTTCTAGCAAATTTGTTATCCTTTTTTACTCAAGTACATATTAATTACAAATTCAGACTTTTCAAGAAAACTTTTAGAGTTAAAATAAAAAAAGATGGTTCAGTTTTATTAATGGTGAAAATAAACTGATGATTAAAAACTGTGAATATTATAGAAGCAGGTGGTTGTTGTTGCGGCCTTCATTTATTACACAAAAAATATTGTTAAAAAATGTACAAATCCTTTGTTATTTTTGATTTAAATTTTGAACAACAATGTACAGAAAAACAAGAAAAATGCTTTAGGAGAAGAAAGCAAAACTTGAATTTTTACAAACAATTAAAGGGAATGCTTCTCTTGGGTGCAATTTTCTCATTTCAAATAAAATTTTGTGATTCTTCATCCCATTCTTATCATCATCGGTATGATGAACAACATGTCAAATGTTCGGCAGAGGGAAGTATTTGCTCAACAAGTAGGGCACAGATTTGCAGGAATAACACGTAACTTAAACGTAATTTTTCCAAATAGTTGCGGTTTTCAGGTGCGTTTCAGTATGTTCCGTTAAAGATATGCGCGAGTGTCGGTGTGACAGCGAAGAGGATAACTACTGCTTTTTGTGCTGCGGCAATGAGCGAAATCGTTGTTTGCCAGCTCATGAACATGGCATACTTAGGTATATTATAATATGCTCTATTAAGCGCTGAATCTTAAAATTTCAAGAGATAATGGAGAGCGTTGGGAGCGTGATGCATGCACAAGATGCAGAATGAATGGGGACGAAATGGATGGAATGCCATGTGATGATCAAGACACACAAAGGCTATGCTTACAAGGAAAATGCTCAAAATCAGTCTGTGTTGATAAACAACAAGGACAATATTGTGATAAAAAGTGGGTGAAAGAGCAAATATTAAACTGGAATAATTTTTTAAGATCCGAAAAAATATGTGTAGACGATGTTTGTGAAAATCCATGTGCCAAAATTTCACCCTATTTAATGGTATGTGAATGTCCAGCAATAGATCCAGATACTGGATTTGCATCAGAAGACCGTTGTCAGCTTTGCTGTTTTGACTATCATCAGGTTACTCCAAATAGATTTAAAAATCTAACATAAAAATTATTTAAAAAAGAAGCCATCTACAAGACGTTGCCGAAATGCTCATCGAAACTATGGCATTAAATCAGCACAAGATCGCCCAATATGGAGGATAGGTTTAGAATGCGCTGGCGGAAAACGCTGCAATCGCTATGGAATATGCTCAAATGATGCTTCACCCGGTGGAAGGAACCAAACCCGTGTGTCAACTTCCCTACTTGCAATTATTGTATTTTCTATATTAATATTAGCCGTCCTAATCACTTCAGCTACGACCATTTTTTCAGAATCATTTTAAAACTAATTATTTACTTTTATTTTTAATTGAGCCTTTTTACATCATATCCATACTAATCCTAATTTTCCTAATTTTTATACAGAGTCACGGGAAAAGACAAATATTCAGTTATAGCTAGAGACCGGTATGAGTTATCTCAAGAAATTTCGATCTCGTCTTGATCCGGTTTCTAGTTATTGCCTATGAGATGTCCTTTTGTAAAATTCTGTATAACTCCCTATATTTGGCAACATTTTCACATTTAACCCTTATTAAATTGTACAGTATTGGAATATTTAATTTTTTCAAAGAATAAAAATTTACTAGAATTATTTTAGTTACCCACCTTTTTCCAAATAATTTTAGGCCAAGGTGCTCCCTTTAATGTACAATCCAGCATTATAGTCTGGCCCTCGAGTAACAAATATTTTGTATTAGTCGTATCAATGAATCGAGGTGGTTCTGAATAAAAATTCATCAATTTTTTCATATTTTCAAGAGGAAATTTACCCAGAATGTTCACATTAAATTCCCTTCTAGCTTTTCCTACAGAATTTTCAACCAAACAAGTATAGATTCCCTGATGGTTAGCAATTTGGGCATCAACAATGTGCAACCAAGCCCCGTCAGACTGGATTGATACATTATTAGGGAGATTAGTAGAATTGTTCTAATGAAATATCATTATTAGAGAGTATCTAAATATTCTCTCACAAAAAGCCAAGTAATCATTGTAGATTCCCCTGGGTTCTGCAAATCACAGTTCATTGGAAGAACTTCTCCTTGCATAACTTCAAGCATGGCATCATTTCCCACTTTGGGTGGAGCTTAAAATAATAATTTGATTAATTTGGAGTAATAATGATCATTTTTGATCACTCTATTTTCCAATTCATCAACTTTAATTATAGAATCCCATTAGAAAACTTAAAGCATTGAGTAAAACCCCATGATACATATTTATTAAACACTAATAGTCCCATTAACTAATTTGCTAGAAAAATAAAACTAGGAAAAAATAATCCGCAACATGGATTACGTACACACATTCGATTAAGGATTAGTGATATAGAGGTTTCGCGCGTAAGGAACACCAAGAGGATTGGATTTAACACAGACAAGAGTAGATAGAAAATGAAGAAGTGTAGTCTTCATTTTTTAATTCTTTCGATAATTTTTTATAAAATTTATAAAGCAACATTCATAATTTTTCAATAAATTTATTTAAAAAATGGATGCCTCATCCATGAGACAAAATAGTTCAGCCCCGTCTGGCATTCAAAATACTCTTGAATTAAATCTTTTTAAATCCCAGCAGATAACTCAACAACCTCCAAAACGTACTAAACGCTTTCAAAATTTCCAAAGTGTTGGTGGGAGTTTGTCACTAAGTTTTGACACATCTGCATTAGAAGACTTATTAGAAATAGGAAAGAATGAAGATGAAATTGAAGAGGAAAAAAGAAGAAAAACTATAAACGCTATTGGATTGGGAAGGAATGTTGCTGATATGATTGCTACAAATAGAAGTGGAATTGAATTTTTTGCGCCTGAATATAACAAAGATGCTGACAAGCAACATAAGAAGGATCAGCAGGAAGATAAGAAGAATCTTGTAATGAAGAATCTTGAAGAATCTTGTAATGGAATAAAAATTTCTAAAGAAAGAGGAGTAGACATTGAAAAAATTAAAAAATATGAGGAGAAATTATTGGAATCAAGAGATTTTGAAAATGAAGAGGATGAGGAGTTTTGGAATGGAATTAGTGCATTGAAGACCACAAAATATGGAATAGCAACGGTTTGTTAATTAATACATTAATGAACAGGATTTTCTGTATTAAAGCCCACGTCTTTATTAGAGTGGTGCATAGCTCCCCTTTAATAAAGCCTCACCTTCAAGGGTGTTTGAAGAACAAAGCCCCGTCTGGATTAGATAGGGGTTCTATTTTATATACCTTCGCTAATGAATCCCCCCTTTGTAGGATATTTGAATAGACAATAATGTATTCCAAAATTTATAATTTTTTTAAAGTGGTGCATAGCCTGGAATGGAGCAGCTATGTATCTTGTTTCTGATAGAACTGGGGAATTCTTGATAAATTTATTGCTTGGAATTTTAGGATTTTGGCAGGCCAAAAGAATGTTTGTTTAACAAAAATTCTTATCCCGTAGATTTTAGCTCTAAAAAGCAAAATTTTCGCAAATTACTAAGCCTATTAACACCGACATTAATCTTCATACAAACCGCACTGATGGTTTTACAACGAAGCGCACTCGAATCTTTTGGTGCATTCAGTTAGTTTGTTCATTAAAAGAATGATCAAACTTTCTTTTAAGAGATAACCCTGCCTATCGCCACAAATCATCAGATGAAAAAGCAGGAATTTAATTTTCAATTTGATGGGGAATTAGCCTCGGTTTTTGCAATTGGAAATACAGTATTGATGTGCTTTGTATGCTATTGCAATTTAAGTGTATTGCGGCTCATTTTAAATAAATTAGGCACTAGATTGGATGAACAATGTATAGGACCCTTAAAATAATAGAGGATGAATATAGGATGAAGATTAGAAGAGATAATAGAGGAAGATCGGAGGCAAGAAAAAGCCATATAAGAATGTGATTAATGATCTTGTAAGGCCCTAGTGATCATTATCAAAACCCATGTAAATATGTATTCATGTTATTTTTAAATTTAAAACTATACCTAAAACAAGCGTAGTTTTTTCAAGTTTTCCAGCCTCATTCACAGCTGTACATGTGTAACGTCCAATATGTGCAGAACTAACCCTCAAAATTCTCAGGCTGAGATTCGGCTATTTAATAATTAATTTATAGAAATTTCGTTAAATTATAAGCTCACCAAAACAATATATTCGGGTGTATTAACATTTAACGGCTGGGAATCATGTGCCCAAAGCACTTTAGGCCTAACTTGCCCCTCAGGAACTAACACAGGACATGGTATTTCAAGCTGAGCACCATCTTTGGCCACTAGTACATCTTCAATATCTGTTTGGAGCATTCTTGGTTTCACTAGAAATTGAGAGAAAAAATAGGTAGTTACTCTTGTAAAAAACAAAAACACATCAAAAAGGGAAAAGAAAAAGCAAATTTTTACGAAAGGGTTGGATAAGCAAAGATTAGAATATTTGTGGCATTCGCGCATTTTTTAAAAATTTTTCAATTAGGTTTTTGATTTACTCACTTATTAATTGTACATTAACATCTTGTAAAGCATTTCCCGCAGCACTATTAGCCTTACACGTATATGTTCCTTTGTGTGCATCAGAACCATTTTTAAGTAATAAAGAACCATCGCGAAGAAAGATTACATGTTCCTTAGATATAGCTTTGGAAAGAGGTTGCCCATCCTTCAAAAATCCTTAAGTTTTTGTCTTGTAAAAATTTAGAGACCTTAAACCATTCAATTTCAGGGCGAGGATTACCAAGTAGGACAACACAGTTAATTTGTAAATCCCTTCCTTCGACACTTAAAATAGCATAGATTATTTTAAAATCCTTTTATGATAACAAAATTAATTATAAAAATACTTAACAGTTCCATTTTTGAAGGCAAACTGGCAAGAACAGGACTCACTTAATAAAATAAATCATAAAAATAAATCCTTGAAAATCCACCCAATCCAGTAATAACCAAATTTGTGCGCTTTCTTTGTTCTCCAAATTGATTTCTAACTATACAAGTAAACGTCGACTGATCCGATAATGATGCTCCTCTGATGTGAAGACTGTCATCAGGCAGGTGAGAATACCGTAATTGTTCTTCTATTAATGCATCTATGGGGGAACCATTTTTAAGCCATTGGATTTGTGGTTTTGGATTTCCATCAACTCTACAGTTAAGTGTTGCTGTTTGTCCAATCTGGACATAGACAGTCTCCGGACTTGGCAAAATTGTTGGAGGGCCTGGTTAGAATAATAAACGAGAATATGGGGAAACTGTATTTAACTCACTTCCAACACCAAGAGTGAGCGGTTTAATTGCTGATCCAGCAATGTTCTCAGCTTTACAGGCATAAGTCCCAGCATCCGAAATATCTGCACGAGGAATAGTTAAACGTCCACCTTCTTGAATTTGTATATAACGGTCGTTATATAGTTGTCGTCCATCCTTCCACCAAACAATTGTTGGAGGGGGAATACCACTAATAACCTAAAAATAAAATATTTCAGAGCAGCTCACAAAGCATATCATCAAAAAAAGTTACTTGGCAATCAAGTATAATTGAATCATCTTTAGTTATCATTTGTTTATTTTGTGAGACATGAATGGTTGGTGGGACTATAAATGTTAATTTGGACACTAATAACGAAAAAAGTACCAGCAATTTGAACGTAAGCAGAAGCAATGGCATTTCCAGCTAAATTTTTTGCTTGGCACGAATAGGAACCTTCATCCTCGTCTTCCACATCACTGACAATTAATTCATCTCTTTGGCTAATGTAGAATTTTGGATCGGAAAATATTGGGGAACCTCAAAAATTGTATCAAAAATAAAATTATTTTCTGGGAATTTTAAAAAACCTCTGAAGGACCACGTAACCTCTGGCTTCGGCACACCTGTTGTAATGCATTTCAAGGTAAAAGTAGTACCTTCAACGCTATATAATTCTCGTGGTTCTACTCGTACACTTGGAGGTTGCATAACAGTCAACCATGCTGTCTCTTCGCTTTGGCCTCCTGAGGTTCGGGCGAAGCATGAGTAAATACCGACATCATCAAAAGTAGCATCGTGAATGCGCAACGTGCCGTTATCATAGGTATACTTAATGGAATTTTACTTTAGTTCCTTAACAGGAATCAAGGTACTAATAATTAAACATACAGTTTTCGCGGAATTTCCAACATTTAAACTGTGATTATGCATCCAGTTAATTCTCGGTCGTTCTATACTTTGTGTTATACAATGTAAAAATGCAGTCTCATGAAGCATAACTGACACATTTCGCATTGAGACAATGTCAGGTGGTAATTCTAATCAAAAATATTTTGAGTAAAAAAGGTGATTGAACCTTTTGATTCAAGAAAAGTCGAGACAGAATGATTGCCTAAAGAACTAACTACCAAACAAGTATAATAGCCACGGTGGGCAGGAGTAACTGAATCTATTGTCCATGTCGAGGTATCTGTATGTCTATATGGAAAACAAATTTGATCCTTGTAAAAACTCTTATAAAACTCCTACTCATAAAAGAGAGGACCACCGATTGTTCTACTCCCAAAAAGCCAATGTACAGTAAATGGCACTCGTGATTCAATTGAACATGTAAGATTTATAGCATTATATGCATTTGCGGTGAGCCTTTCAGCCATGTAAGCTCTAGGACCAACAACATCGACAGCAGCAATTGCTGTAGGAGTAATTCGTAGAAAGTCGTAGTTCTTTTAAGGTCGATGAGTTAATATCATTCATAATTTACCTGAGCATCTTTCCCCCTCACACGCACAAAAAAGAATATTTTTGGTGGAATTAAAGGCCCAACAAAATGGAGGTAAGGGCCGTCTCCTGGATATAAACGTGACTCATTTCGATAAAGTTCATTTCCACTGTAATCAACAAGTGATACATGTTCCAAAGCTCCTGGTGGTCTCAGTCCGGTCATTTTAATAAGTAGATAAGTTGGTTGACCAGCTACGGGACGAGGATGGGTCTAAAATAATGGATTTATAGCTAAGATTTTCTGATAGATTTCTAAAAATATCCCTATTGAAAACCTACTAAGTCTATGGAAGAAACCGGTTGAGCAGCAAATCCATATTTGAAGTCAATATCTCCATGACCAAAAATTAATAAAGTATGCCTGAAGGTTTCAAGAGGTTATTAAGGACAGACAAATGCTTCTAACTTTAATCTGCTACTGGTTCTGACTCGCCAAATGCCTGGTACGGGAGAAAGTAAACGAATCAGCTTTATATTTTTCAAATTGATTGTGCCATCATCATGTTCGTACTTGTCGATTCGTCTATCTGATAATTAGATGAAATTTAAGCAAATTATTTAAGATAAATCAACTGTGTGGATCAACCAATTCAATGTCCATCAGATCACTATCATCCCGTACACCAGCCAATGATACCACCAACTCAGAGAATGATGTATCAATCGGGACGAGACTGCATTTAATAGTAAAACTAAATTAATATCATAATTATCCACCTAGTGTGTGTTTGTCCATGTTCACGAACTTCATAAAGAATGTGAACTTTACGTCGTGCTACTGAATGGCGTACATACTCGAGAACTTAAAATTATTTTTTATCCGAATATAACATAAATTTATTTGGATACCAGTATTAACATGTGATTTTTCCAGGTGAAAAACTTGTCCAAAACTTGCGGCTGCTATTCTTTCAAATACTTTATATCCAGGGGCTGAACGATTTCCACAATCACCAGTCATTACAAAGACAACCTATTTTTTAAAAATTTTAAAGCACAAATAGGGTATTAAAATTCTAATAGGACCCACTGAGCTTTGTTTCTCTTGTATAAGGTTAAGTACGGCACTTTCAAGATGAAAATCTTTGGATCGCGCATCAGTGAATACGTAGATATAAGATCCTGGCAATGAGACTTCAAGTGCTTTTTTAATGCCAGATAAAGCCTAGAAATATAATTTGTAGGATCTTTTAAATTAAAAATATCAATGACCATTTCTGGACAGTCCCCACCGCCCTGTACAGAAACGGATGCCAATTGTTGCTGAAAAAGATCAGGATCTGTTGTAATAAATGGATCGCTCACTTCTAAAGAGATTCTCAATTATTAAAAACAGGAAAATTATTAGCCTGCCTGGATCATGAAAAAGGACTAGAATAAAATTGTAGATCAGCTTCTTACGCTGTTTCATTACAGTTTCAAAAATTCCTTTAGCACCATGCCGAACTTGATTTAGATCATCTGTAAACTTTTTGCTTTTTAGTCATAATTTACTAAGTTACCATTCATTGAGCCAGTCGCGTCAAAAACGAATGTGAGGGAAGACACGTCAGGAGGGGGAGGAGGTTGGATATTAGCCACCCCTTCCACAACATCCCTTTGAAGATGATATATCTCCTTATCTGCTGGTTGACCAAGTTGTAGGTCATATAAAGGGTGCCCATAATCTATCTGATTAATTTCTATTGATGTTCTGATCAAGATGGTAAGCAATACTGAGATAATCAGGAAAAATTGGTCATGTTGCATAATTTCAATATTTTATATCTTTAACGTTGTTATAAGCAAAATAAAAGTAACAATTTGATTTTAAATGCATAAAAATTGTCTTAAATTTTTCCAATTATTAAATAAAAATGTTCCTGCCAGCTAGCGTCTGGAAGGTCCGAAGAGGGAGTTGGAGGGAGATACGACCGAAGGAGGTTGGATGTAAGCCCACCCTTCCGTATAATTATTTAACACAGCGGCTGGCAGAAAGTATTGAGAAAATTAATAGCCTAAAAGTCGAAAATCAAGAGGTATTGGCTTAAAGAAAGGGTAGTTTTGTTCTTAAACTTTTTTCAGGAATTGAACAGGGCAAAACAATTAAGTTTGTGCAGGCTTAAATTAGAAAATTGATTAACCATCATGTTGGTTGTATGTTTTTCTCATTTTTTCTGTAACATTTCTCTTTTGAATTAAAGGCAAATCGAATAATTAGAAAATTTACTTATCTTATGGACAATCTCTACGCTAGTATGCTAAAATCAAAAGGGGTGAGAGTGTGGTTTATGTAGATGAGACTAAAACATCATCGTGATTTAAAAAATGAACGGATGAAAACAAAGCGTACGTCTACATTGCTATAAAGCAATCTTTGTTTTTTTACTTCAGTGTAGGCAATAGAAGAAAAAAACTGTCCTTTGGGAAAAAAAGTTTATTTATATGTCACGGACAATCGAATGGACCACCACCACCTAAAGGCTTATTTCAGTTGACTTTTATGCCTGTCCCCCTAAAATTCTCTCTCTCACATTTGCCTTTCTCCAATGAAAAAGTGCAGTCGATTAAAATGATCAAATTTCATATAAAAATATACTAGTTTATAATAGCGTCTGAAAGTCATTTTTAATAAACCTATAGCAAGGGGCATGGGTCTAAAAGCATCAGATCAATATTATAATTTATTGATTAAAAATATCAAAAATAATAAATTAATAATATAACAAACCAGGGATGTTAAGGGTTGAGAAAAAGGCTGGTTGGATTTCGGGTAACCCGTGGCATCCCTGATACAAACCTATCATATAAACAGAAATCAAAAGAATGTCAAACCATGTCACAAAAAGTCAAAGTTTCTTCAAGTTTCTATTGAAATTCCCAATTTTTGTAGTAAATGATTTTACTAATGTTTTACCACATACTTGTTCAATCACAATATGGGGCTGAATTTTAAAATTATTTTATAAATTTAAAAAAATAAAAAAACCTCAATTGGTGCTCTAACAAATTTCATACAAGGCAAATATTCTTCAACAAAGCTAGGTATATCAATCTCAACATCAGAGTAGTGTTCAGCAAACAACAATTTCAACATGTTCACAATCTCAGACAACTTTTGAAAAAAAACTTTTTTAATAATTGTTTAAAAATTTTGAAAATTCAAAAATAAGTACATACTCAAAAATTCAAGAATTTATTTTTTTTAATTTACCCCAAGTTCCCGATTTGCCAAAACAAGTTGAGCGATAACTGCAGCAATCATGAACTTCTTGTCCTATAAAACAAAATTATTATAAGGGCTTGAAACTTTTTAATTTGGGTAGCACCCCCGAAACCCCTATAAAATATCAACTCCGAGACCTTCCCCTGCAAACCTTAATCACCAGACCTCAAGGATGTAATCAAGGGGTCGATTTCAGTGGGCTAAAATGTGCCAAAAACTAGCCCTCTGGATATGCCTTTGCTATACCACCGACCCGAGAAGGGTCTGGGTTGTTACTCTACTTTTAAAATTAATTTATTTACATTTGATTTATCAGCAACAACCAATTTTGGTTTCAAAGGTTTAGTTTTATTTGAATCCATTTTTTCCAAAAGTTGTTGAACCCGTTCCCTCCTTTGTTCCTCCTCCTTTGCACGTCGACCAAACCTTGTAGTTTCTGCAAATGTTCCCTCCATTGGAGCGTCCGTTTGATTTCTATTTTCAAATTGTTGAAAAAATTCTCTTCGTTTTTTCATACTTTGTGCTGCAATTGCAAAGCGCATATTATTTCTCTAAAAATTTTTTTAAAGATATTCCAAATTAAAATGATTAGAAACCTGTTCAGACAATTTTTTCAATTCGTCAAGGTCAATTTCTAAAAATTAAAAATTTGAAGGGACAAAACGTTTTTTAAATAACAAAACCGGTATAACAAAAACCGGGTTAATTGTTTATAGTAAAGAGTATGGCTCCAGAAGCTGATTTTAAAATGTTCGGAGCTGGAGCCAAACTTTGAAAAAGGTCAAAGCCACAAAATGCCCAATACTCGACACTATAATTTATTCTAATTGCGGCTTCAAACAAACGGGAATATTCGAGATTTCGTGTGTATCATTTGCGTATAATAGGGAATTTGGTACTACTGACGCTTAATGAGGCCGCCATTCTCTGATCGTTATGAGACTATAATTTGGATATTTTTTGAACAATTATTATAATTGCGAAAAATGTTAATAAAGAGCAAAGGATTAATTTTGACTGATAAAAAAAAGAGAATAAAATTCATTGGGCCCATAATTGTCAAAAAACTACGGCCCCTTAAGTCAGGAATGCCAAGAATTTTAATCTTAAAAAATAATTATACCATTTTTAACACCATTTTCCTTCTTGCTTTCACTAGATGAAGGGACAGAAGCATCACTTGTTGAACACAAATCTTTATTGAAATTAACAAGTCGAAATTCTTCTGCTTCATCATCAATATCATCATTCTCACTGTCAGTAAATACAGCCCCTTCAATAGCACTTGTGTAGCGTTTCTTAAAAGACTTATTAAAAATACAGCAGATTTTAAATAAACCTTGGCAATTTCCTCATCGACAACTTCATCGCTAATCTCTTCCTCACTATTAGAATTTTCATCATTGGAGTTTGAATTGTGTTTATGTACAAAATTAATGTTTTTAGCCAACAACGCATCGTCTGTGTAAAAAATGCTGGAACGCGTTACTAGAGGCTTCACGACAGGTTTTGGCTTCTAAAGTTAAAAAATTATGAAAAAATTCATTATTAGAATTTCATGAGGTTGTTGAATAATCCGCGCGCCTCCACATGAGTGTATGTGGATATTTCTTTTATGCCTATCAGTTATGTAGTGAAAAAACAAAATAAGTTCACCAAATATACTAACCAAAAATGAAGAAGGAATAACCCAATCAAACAAACAGGGAGCGAGATATCCAAAAAGTACCTAATTTTTAGTTATCGCTAGCAGGCCCGTAGCCAGGGGGGGGGGTGAGGGGGGAATTCCCCCCCCCCCCCGAAATGAGAAAAAGGAAAAAATTTGGGGAAGGGCTGGGGCAAAAATAGTGAATTTTTTTGGCCTACGGCCTCTGAAATTTAAAAAATTTTCGCCTGCGGCTCTAAATCTGGCTTCTTGTCTGGAAAAATCTGGCTTCTTGAGGTCCAAAATTCAAAAAATTTTCACCTGCGGCGCTGAAAATCAAATTTTTGGCGCCTGCGGTGCCGAAAAAGTTTATTTTTTTGGCCTACGGCCTTCTAAAATTCTCAAAATTTTCGCCTGCGGCGCTGAAAATAAAAAATTTTTGGCGCCTTTGGCGCCAAAAATTTGGCGCAGAAAAAATTTTCCCCCCTTGGCCCCCCCCCCCCCCCCCCCCCGAAAAAAATCCTGGCTACGGGCCTGATCGCTAGTCTAATTGTGAAAAACTCCATTAAAAACTATCATTAATATTTAAAAAATAACCTAAACTGATACATACAATTTTTGGTTCAGGCGGCGGCTTAATCACGCGTAATTTCCTTGGTTGTACTGGCTGTATATTCTTGGGCTTTTTCGTCTTGAACTTGTTCTTCAATTTTAATTTTTCAGCCTCTTCTTCCATTTTAATAGCTTCCAATCGTTCTTTAAGGATTTTCTCACATTCAGCATTAACCTCATCCATTGTTCGTTTCATTTTGAAAAGAAGAGATCCCGTCCGGTTATTATCAGTGAAAATTTCAATATCATTGTATAAATAGGTGTCGATAATTGTTTTAAGCTTGCCAGTTGGAAAAAAGCGTTTTAATTCCTAAAAATTAAAAAAATAAAATGGAAAAATATTAAGAAAGCGCGTCATATTATCAAACGCCAAATACCTTAAGGGTGCCAAAATACCAAACTGAGGAAAAAAGATGTTAACAATAAGCAAGGGTGAAGGTTACTCTATCAAAATGGAAGGTTGATAGAAATCAACATCTTGGTAATTTTTGGACATTAGGGGATCAGAGACGTAGCAAGAGGGATTTTTTTATTCCATTATCAAAAAATTCAAAAACAAACCGATTTATTCATTTCAACTCCATAATTTTGTTTATACTCATTTTGAAGTTCTTGTAATTCTACTTCCCTTTCTTCTGCACCCAAACTATGTAGACATTTCAATAAATTTTCTTTTCCCATAAGAATTTTCGGACAAGATTTTGGGTCGCGAATTAGAACCTAACAAATATTTTTTACAAAATTGGTTGGAATTAAATTTTAAACCTGTAATCTTCTAAATTTCTCTGTCTCTTTTGCACTTCGAAAACGATTAGCATCTTCTATTGAGCTTAAAATATGGGCAATGTCTGGTCGAGATTTGATCTATAAATATAATCTTTTATGAGATTTCAGTTTAAAGCCTCAGAAAAAATTGGAGATAAAATTCTAATTCATAACGGAAATATGGATTAAGGATTAGAAATAGTGACCGGATCCTGCCGGGTTTTTAGGCGTCCGGATCTCAAATCAAGGTTTTCCCCAATCTCCGGGTTTTTCCCAAACCGGATTAATCGAGAAAAATCCGGCGGGGACAATCCAGCTTTGGGAAATCCGGATCCAAATCCGAAAAATAAATTTTACGGGTCACTAACTCTTAAATCTCATAATTCGAAAATTAAAAAAAGACCTTGTAACAAAAAACCTTCTCAGGATTTACATTACCAGCACCCTTCGCCATGTCAGTATAACAAGGTTCTATAATGTCACGAAAGTCGTCTGAACCCAGCATAGCAGGAATTGATGGATATCCAAGTTTTTCAGCGAGAACACCAATATCGTTACACGTATCTTCCCTTCAAAAAATATTTTAGGAACAATTTTTAAAATTTGATAAAAAAAATTTCAGAGATCGGGTAGGATCCAAACTTTGATTTTTCCTTCCAGGATTCAGAATCGAAATCAAGGCATTTTTCAGTGTTACCTGAATTTTCCTTGACCTTGATTTTTAACTGACTCAAAGTCAAGAATCTAGGAAAGGTTTTCAACCAAAAATTAAGAACCAAGGCCAAAGATTTTTTAAATTTCCGATCTCTAAAAATTTTTAAAAATTCTAATAAAATAACCTGAATGTTGTAATTAAAACTGGAATAGTAACTGGACTATCTGCACTGCCAATAGTGCAAATTAATTCTTCTCGTACATATGCCATTAACTCCTCACGACTAATTTTTGTTGTATTATTGACACAAAGGAATTCATCACCATTCATAATCAACACTGAAATAAATTAAATTAAAAATTTTGAAGAGAAAAAATAAAAATTAAAAAATATTGAAAGTTAACGGCACTAAGAGTCTCACAAAGAGAAAAATTGCACAAGCCCAAATTGGTAACAGATAAAATAATACTAGAGGTCGGCAAAATCTTGTTTGCGGGATCAAGTATGTGGGATAAAATTAGAAATCCGTGAATCGGTTTAAAAGCTGTTATATGTATTTCTTTTGCCATTTAAGAATATTTGTTTCAGAATTCAAAAATTTGCGCTAGTTGGCATAATGCTATAAGAATAAATGACACTTCATCCCAAAATCAATAATCGATTTTTGATGACTCATCTAGTGTTCTCTGTTGCCATTTTAGCAGGGATGTTCTACAACTTGGAGTGTGGCTTTTCCTTTTTTGGGGTTAACCTTTTTAGGGGGTGGGGAGTAGTAATAACTTGCGGACAAGACTTGCTTTTTTTAATTTTTAAAATTTAATACAATTTTTTTCAGTGGTTCAGCAGCCGATATAAAACGTTTGTTTAGGTTTATTTTAAAAAATAGAATCCCTTTTTTAGTATTTGGAGCGGAGCAGCGAAAGTCCCACTCTTCGCTTCGGCGATATTTGGGCAGACAAAGTCCCACTCTTCGCTTCGGCGATATTTGGGCAGACAAAGTCCCACTCTTCGCTTCGGCGATATTTGGGCAGACAAAGTCCCACTCTTCGCTTCGGCGATATTTGGGCAGACAAAGTCCCACTCTTCGCTTCGGCGATATTTGGGCAGACAAAGTCCCACTCTTCGCTTCGGCGATATTTGGGCAGACAAAGTCCCACTCTTCGCTTCGGCGATATTTGGGCAGACAAAGTCCCACTCTTCGCTTCGGCGATATTTGGGCAGACAAAGTCCCACTCTTCGCTTCGGCGATATCTGGGCAGTCTGGCTTCACTCCAAATAGTGCAACGATTAAGTTCCAATGCTCTCGTCTACATGGTTTGTTTTTTTTTACTTTATTAAATATCCGCAAGTTTTGTCCGCAAAGTTTCTCCCCTAAATAGTTTATCCTTTCCCAATGTTAAAGCCAACAAATGATAGCCAGAACGAGAAGACGCACAGCAAATGTTCGATGGTTGGATACTGATTTGATTGAATTGTTGAACTTTTGATAGGTTGTTTTTATGTTTAAAAGTTTTTTAATAACTCAATTTTTAGCCTTGATAGAGTTCCAGGAGCTAAAAAAGCTTTTAAAGAGGTTATTTTTGGTTATTTACTATGGCTTCAAGATTATTTTTTAGGGCACAGAATTGTTGGGCACGGAATTTCTAGGGCACGGAATAACAGTATAAAAGCTTTATCAGTTCCCAGCTTTACTTCATAACTCGTCTGTCATCTAAGACAACACAAGCAAATATGGAGTTTTGGACATTAACATCGCTGGTGTGGTTCATGTATCTTTCGCTGCTTACCTCTTCGTTCATAACGACTTCGCTACTTGATTGCTGCTGTTGTAAGAAGAAAAAGAAGGCAAATAAAGTTGGAGGTAAATCTAGCAGACCTCGTAAATTGGCCTCTGTAACTCCAGAAAAGGTTGGTTTTTGAGGTTTAATTCTGTTTACTTAATCTTTATTTAAAGGAGGCGACCCGTGTTGCTGCTGCTGGTAAGAAACCAACAACTATCCCAAGCCCGCCGAAGACACAAGTTGGAAAGAAGACAAAGGCAAACACTGAGGAAACCACTACAACTAAAAAAGTTCGATCAAAAGAATCAAAGAAATCCAAGCAATCAAAGAAGGCGAAACTCTCAAAGTCTGGTTCACCCAAAAATTCCAAGCATTCGCGCAAGCACAAAAAGGATAAGGATGATGGAGGTGATTCAGAATCGTCGAAAGGAGCTTTGGCGGATGTTGTAAGTTGTTGATCTTTCATGGGCAGTTTTAATCTCTTCCTTTTTTAAGCATTTGAGTGCTGAGCCAATCAAACCGAGGTCATTCGTCCTTGATGAGAAGGAGGCAAGAATCAAGAATGAGAGTTTGAAGAAAGAAGAGGCAGATCCATATCCTACAATTTCGGCTTTTCTTTCGGATAAAGACGATGATTAAGAACCTTAATGAGGAGTTCTATTCTGTATGTCAAATATCTTCAAGTTATAATTGTTAAAAACATTGATGTTTTTAATGTATTTGCCTGATAATTGTGTATAAATAAATGTTTTTTATTTGTGTCTAGTTTGTCATAATTAAGTATGAGAGTTTAGATTTAAAATATGAAATGTTTTGCTAATTAATTTTTTAGTACCTAAGAAATGCACTCTTGAACTGCATAATCTCAAGACAAATAAATATTGTTTCAATGAAAAATATGCTGACTGCATTCTCTACCTTTGAACGGTCAACCTCCCATTTTCAGACCAGAGTTCCTATTTAATTTTATGTACTGATAAATTTATTGCTTATACGTGGATTATTATTGAGTTAATAATTTTGATAAGTATTTACTTTGAAAGCATAAATTTCATAAATTATTACTCGTTCCCAATATTTTAATAATGACTTGCCCATACCTTTCTGGTCGTACTATGATAAATATACACGAGGATGAAGTTGAAGCTGAGATTAATCGAATTAATGAGGAATCGTCTAGGCAGAGTGAGCAACTACCATCAATCTCGAGCAGTGTAAGCGATGGGGTTTACAAAGCAGCGATCTTTACAGATCAAATTTCGTACAATGGATACTTACAGGTTAAGCAAAATAGGCCATAAAATAAAAAGAAACTTTTCATTTGAGCTTGATAAGCTGTTGGATTGTCAAGTAATGCGTTCAAATGATGGAAAGCGTATTATTCCAGATGAGCATCTCTTCATTATAACTCATCAGACTTATGAGCTTTGGTTCAAACAATGTATTATATTAAAAATAGAGTAACACCCCGTCCCACGAACCACGACAAACCCTCAACTGGAAACCCCGATCCCTGACATTCACGACCTGAAGGATCAGGTTGCTACCCTGATTGAAAATACCGAATAAATGTTTAAAAATATAAATAAAATTTCAGTAATTTTTGATATTGATCAAGTCCGCGCATTGCTATATAACAAGGCAAAAAATTTTGTTTTATTGTTTAAACTCATTTCTATTTCTAGATAGTGGATGAGACAAAAACCCTCCAAATTGTAAGCCTTCTAGAAAGAACTGCAAAAATACTAAAATTACTCGTTGATCAAATTTTAATTCTCGAAACTATGAGTCCCTTAGATTTTGTTGAATTTAGGTAGCTAAAAGTATTTAATGAATCATTGAAATTTTAAAGAAATTTTTTAACTTCCGCGTCGGGTTTCCAAAGCCTACAATTTCGTCTACTCGAAAATAAATTGGGAATTTTGAATAAAAATCGTGTCTCATACAATTATCAACATTATAAAGAAGTGTTTAACAAAAATGATCAAGAAAATGATAAAATTATTCATTCTGAGAGAGAACCTTCGTTGTTTATACTCATTGATGTATGTTTGAGTTCAAAAATTTTTAAATATCAGAATAATAGCGCTGGTTATCCCGAACACCTGGAATTTATGAGGAAGAATTTGACGAGGATACGGATGAACCAAGTGATTCTAGAGAGGATAAAGAATCATCTAATGATCATGGGAATGCTTCGATGGGAAAAAGGAAAACATTTTGGGACAGATACTTGGAGGCAAATTCTGAAAAAATTTCAGAAAAATTTTTTGTAACTTTCTAACATTTTAAAGGCTGTTTCTCAATACCTTTCATTTATGCTGGAAGAGGTAAACAATCCAAATCAGACAAAAGAGGAGCGTGAACTTCGATGGGATGAATATGTTAAAATTAGACGAAGTTTTCAGACTATTACTAATGAAAGCGATTATAATACTTTTGTAGAAAAAGGTTGATAAGGTAGTTGACTTTGGAAAATCATAATGAAATTAAGGTGAACGCCGTCTTAGCCACAATGCACTAAAAGGTGCATTGATGATCTACTTCTACAGGGATATGCCACGATTTTCTCAACCATACCAAATCCTCTTTCATTTAATGGATATAGACTCTTTATTGCAGAAGTGGCGATGTAAGTTTAATTTCTAGGAGATATGTATCATAAGATTTGTTCTTTAAGATAACCATTTGATGTTAGTTCAACGAATGTTGGGAAGCAAAATTGGAACGGGAGGAAGTAGTGGATATATGTATTTACGGTATGAGTCATAATATGTCTCCTAATTTTGAATATTCTTAAAGCTCAACGGTCAGCGATCGCTACAAAGTTTTCCTTGATCTATTCAATCTAAGTACTTGGCTGATACCGAGAAACTACATTCCTAAACTTTCCCCTAAAATGATGAGGACACTTTCGGGAACATGAGTAAACATAGAAAAAGATAATGAGAAATGATATTGATACAAATATTGATAAGAAAATTTTTTGATAGAATTTTAAAAGAAATAGAATTTTATAAAATTAAAAACAATTAAATAAACAAAATAGTTAAAATTAAAATAATGAAAGCTCTTCTCAAATTATGTGCAATAGAAATCCTTAAAGTTGAAGAATCGCTGTTCCAAGGCAAATCCATAATCGAGGGATATTGTTCGTCAGTTAATCCATTAATTTTACTTGCTCCAATATGAAATGACATTTCTGAGTCGAATTCAGGGTTTGAAGATTGGAATGAACTAATTGCTAAATGGCCAGTGCTGAAGTGTTCGACTAATTCTGTCCCCAAACCGAGTGAAGTAATTGCCTAAGATTGTTTAGAATATAAGGAATATACTTGATATTCCATTTAGTCAAACCTGTAACCTAAATCTGTAAACAGCTTTAGGGTTGAGATCAGTTAAGTGTTCTATCCTTTGCTCAGGGCCGACAATTGCTACTTTAGAGGGAGAATCTAAAAACGAAATAAGGTTAAACTCGATACAATATTTCTCTAGTTGGAAAGTGTTAAAAAATTATAAAATTGTGAAAGAAACGAAATTATCACTAAAAGGATTCGAAACAATCAAGTTTAGTTTACTGTAGAATGAGAGAAAAGGGATACTCGCCTAATAAACGTATTCAATCAAAACCTACGAAAAAGTGTAGAAGACAGGACAGTTCGAAACCCAATTAATTGGTTATTTTTAGGTTCAAATTGTCTTTGCCAAGTCCAAGAACAATCTGCAGTACTTATAGAAGTTGCTAGGCAACTCAACCTTTGAATATCTTGTTGATTGGAATTTTCTGCTGATTTTTTCCTTTTCTCATTGTCTTCTCTTAACCTCTTAGAGTTCTCATTAATGGATATCTCTTTATTATTCTTCTCTCCCTCAGAATTTTCAATTAATTCTTCAATAGGAAGCCATTCCCTTCCAATATTTGAAGATAATTTGGTAGATCGAGTCGTCGTTTCGGCTGAATTTGTGCCTATTTATTAATTAAAATATAAGCAGGAGGAGGTTTACCATTCAAAGGTAATGCAAGGGCAGGCAATTTATCACTGTTTGAATAAGGCCAATTAATTCGTTTACCAAAATCTTCACTTGATTTGCATGGTAAAGGTATATCTGAAAGCGTTTGTTCACAAGGCAGTGTTGAGAAAGTTAAACGGGCAATCAGCTACATAATTTATTTAAAAAATAAGGAAATTTCGAAAAATTCACATTCTCATTGTTGTTTTTCAGCCTTTGCTGGTCTTCGTTAACAACGTAACTTTCGATTCTGACATAATATTCACACTGGAATTGGAGATTTTCAAGCGTAGCTACACAATTATGAACATAAAATTCTTGTGGGGGTAATTGATTCAAACAACTCATTGACCTAACAAATACTCGGAATTGATGCTGAAAGTATTCCAAATAAATTTTTTGACCCAATATCAAGAAATAAACCCTTACCTGATTTCCCAACAATTTATTATCGGTGCAACTTGGATGGTCATTCCAAGAAATAATTGTCTTTAAATGATTTCCCTCAAAGAATGGTGTTTTTACATGGGCTGCATAATGAAGATTTTGAGGGTTTTTGGATGGTTCCTTTAAATAAATCATTGAAAATTAAGTTTTCTTTATCAAATTTTACCACAAAATCATTCTTTTCACTGGAAAATGGCAAAAGATTTTCAACGTTAGAATTATTTCTGCTTTGTTTTTTGTGAAAGGTTGCGCCAGTTTTGAGGAAAAGGACCGCTGGTTCACCTCGTAGTTCACCTTCTGCTGTGTCCACAGTAGCTAGAAGCTTTAAAAAGGAACTTTTGGAATAATTAAGCAATTAAGTTTACTTCAACAATATAAACTTGATTTTGTTCTAAGCCAGTAATTTGGGTTTTGGTGGTAGAACTGGGCAAAACTAAGCTCCTTCTCAAGGGTTCCTGATCCTATAAAATATTTAGACAGAGAGATATGACTAAATTTTTTGTAAATACAATTTCAGATAGTTCGGTTCCATCATAGTCATCCTCATCATGTCCTCTAGAACTTCGACGTTGACGTAGTTCAAAAACCTTGGCTAATTCTAATGAAGTTTTCCTTGAATCAAAAGGTGATTTTATATTAAAAATCACTAGAGATACCACCAACTGAGACGGTAATCTTTTATTGGCATATCGGATATAGGTGGAGACCATCCAATTTTGGCTACCTCACCGGTGTTAGATTGGATATCATCCCCCAAGGGTAATACAGTGAAATTATTTGGAGGCTGAAAATGTATAAATTAAATGATCAAATACTTATAATCACCGATGGGCTTTTAACTTCCTTTGTAAGTTTAAATGGTGGATGGCTTGGCTGGGAAAATCCATCTTAATAGAAATATATTTAATAATCATATGTATAGTTCAAAACCCACAAGTTCCGTAAACATTAACAGCTGCAACACGAAAAAGATAATAACGTCCTGGGGTAAGCAAATGCTTGAGAATTGCATACATTTTATTCCTAACCATTACCTAATAAGCCCAAAATTATTTATTTATTAACTCAGGACTAACGGTTTGCCAAGGTGTCATTGTTTCGGGATCTTTGTTCAATGACCACCTCCATTGAATAACAAACACTAAATATGGTATTATAAAATATGATTATAAATTTTGAATACAATTAGCATATGTTGAAGTATGTTGAGGAGTCATTCGCTTCATTACCCAACGAAGAATGGCTGATCTAACAATTTTTTAAAATTATTTAAAGTTGTAGGGCATTCAGTCAGAACCTTTTCCGTTTCCTCTCCTGAACTGTAATCCCCTCTGGCATAGGAAGCAACCGGCTGTCATTAAGTTTGGGCACTAAACATGTTCGACTACAGCCAAATGAGCAACACTTTTCAATCTTAAAATTTCAGGATATTATTATGTAATAGGTGGAATCAAACAAGTACCTCTGCGCAATCAGTATCAGAATCACAAAAGGCAGAGCATTCCTTAAGAGATAATAAAATTTTTCAATAACTAAGGAAGCCTAGAAATCAAATTTTAACTGTATCAACTATCCACTGCCTTGTTTGTAACTTTGGGCAGTGCCCCGATCTGTTAACAGCATTCTGAATAAATGTACATGACTGGCGGCAATGGTCAGGTTCTGGAGCTTCCTTCAAAACAGACAATACTTTCTGAATATTTTATGGTCTAAATTACCCCGCAGAAAGTTTGATCACACAATTCATAATTCAGAATCAGCTCCCGACACGGGATAAGACACTTTAATTTTAAAAATTGTGGAAAAAATGAAAAAAGTTTAGTTACAGATGAGCATTGCAGATCCTCCTTGCATAGGTTACTAATTTGATGCCTTAGAAGCCTTCTAGTTTCTGCATTATTCTGAAAGATGTTGGATAATTTTAAGAATATTTATTGTTTAAATTGGACATTAGCTAGAGGTATTCTTATATTTTTTAAATAATTATAGGTGTTTTACTATTGTTATTTTTCATAATTTTCAATTAGACAATAATCACAAACACACAAATATTTCAACATAATTTTTTTTTAAATTATTTTTATTTTTTTATTTTTTTATTACGTAATTTTTATTTGAATAGTATGCAATTAAAAGTAAATTCCTAATTAATTAATGTGCATAATTGTTTTGGCAATTATTTGTTAATTTTTCTTCTGACAAGTCAGGCAATTTTTATGGATAAGGAGAAGGTAAATTTTAATTCGATGTTAGTTTAAATTTGCTGATAAATTAAAAAAAGGAGAAAAAACAATAATTAAATCTTCCAAAAATTACATTCTTTAATTAAAATTCCTTTCAATTTTCTCCAACTTTTATTTCACCAAAAATAAATTAAGGGCATCAAAGTGGCACTTTTTTAATCTCTTTTTTAACTACAATATATGACCTTTCACTTTATCCCTTTTTGTTTAGTTTATTTACTCTCGATGAGGAAAACTACTAAATGTATTCTTTCCCTAAAATAAACTCCTAAAAATCTCGTCGTCGTTTTGTATTCGCAAAACAAACCATAAAATTTAACAATAGAAAAAAAATATATTTTAGAAAAATAAAAGAATATATAGGCTCCATTATTAATGCCTCCAAGTTTTCTTTTTATGACAATAGATGGAAGGGGGGAGGGGAAAATTTTAAATGGACAAAGAAAAATAAGTAGAAAGTTGGTTTTAAAAATAAAAAATTAAAGGTCAATAAATCTTAAGAAAATAAAATTTTTTTGAAGTTTTTAAGAAAAAATTTATTAATATTATATTTTAAGTGTAGTTTATGCGAACCTTTTATTAAGTGATTTTGAGTGAAAATCACCATTAAGTGATTTTAAGTGATTTTTTCTAGTCTGGCGGAATTAAAAAAAAATACAGATGTAGCCGTATTTTGGATATTTTTTGATATATTTTTTAATTAATTAAATCACTAATTAAAATTTTCCTCTCATCCAATTTCACTTTGTATTTTTAATTTTCCAAATGGGATGAAAATGAAAATAGCTGCTTTGTAGCAGATGTTATAGAAAATGTGCGCGTTTTAATACATAGCAGTTATGATCTTAAATAAAAACAAAACGTATCCAAAAGCGATGGCCTTTAATGTAAAAATTTCAAAAATTCAAAAAATAAACAAAAAAAAATGTTAGAAAAAAAATTCTTTATAAAATTCCAAATCTTATTAGATAATCTTTCACGATAAAAAATTAAACTTTTTTCTCAAACTAAATTGGTAAATAAACAAAAAAGGGTTGAAAGGAGATTCTGGTGTGTGTCTTGTTTAAAAATGCCGTAAATAAAAGAATAAAAAAAGATATTTTAGAGCCTAAAACTGAGCAAACAAAGTGTAAAAAAGAGCAAACAACAGAAGAAGAAATGTTGTAGAGGTGCCGAAAAAATAAATAAAAAATAAAATATAAAGGATAAGGCCTTAAAAGATGACGAAACTCATGGATCATAAAATTGTGTGAGAAGAAGGGTTATAAAAAGAAAATTGTCAAACAAAAATTTATTTTAATGGAAGAAAACGAAAAAAAATTAATTAAAAATGTAAGTTGGAGGGTCATTTTTATTGGATCGGACCGACCGAGTCTTTCGGACCGGACCAAGCCCCACCCCATATTTTCAACAACCAAGTTTAGAAACCACCAAACTACAGACTTTTACATACCTCTAGTAAAAATACCCAACTATTGCTTAGATTATTGTAAAATGAAAGAAAAGGGATACTCGTTAATTAACATATATGATTAATTTTTACTTGATTATTTTTTAGTTATTGAGTCAAAAAAATTTTTTGAGTTAAATCATGTAATCCGATATATAATTTGTGATTTAAATTTTCCAAAACCAAGATTAAAAAAATAATCTAGCATGTAAAACATTTCGAAAAACATGCAATAAACTAACCAACTAGTTTAGGATTTAAGTAAAGATTTTAAAATAAATAAAGCTGGAAGTATTTATAAACTATTAAAAATAAATACTCCATTTACTTTTTATTCTCCTTAAATCCCCTTCTTCAATAATACCACAAAATAACTTTTTAATCCCACAAAATTTGTCTCAAATTGCCTCGTACTTTAAGTATCAGTTTAAATTTTATAAGAGATTAATCCAAAAAATATTTTTTGTGTGATTCAAATAAAAAGGCTTTCGACTGTTTTCGATTTTTTGCCTTTTGTGATGCTTCGCATTTCGCGTTTCGATTCGCCTTTTGATTTTTTCGTCTTTCAAAAGACGAAACATTTTTCGTCAAAATCCAAAAGGTGTTTCGCCTTTCGTCTTTTCTAAATTAACTTTGGCACTTTCGCCTTTCGGATTTTTTAAAATCACTTTCGGAACAAATAGTTTTTGTTTAAAAGAATGTACAAATTGTATAAATAAATCCAAAAATCAGTTATGTGCTAATTAAAAAATGTCAAAAAAAATCTCAAAAAAATACTTGCGTAAAAACTTTACAACATTTATAAAAAAATAAAGAGATCTTTTTTAATAAAAAAATTTCGGCATTTATATTATTAGAACGGAAATGATAGTCGGCTTTATTTAAGGACAACATAATTTATGGCCTTTTTGTTAGCGAAAATAAAGGGGGGAATAAGAACAGATGTAGAAAGATTTTATTAAAAAAAGAAAATGTAATGAATAGGCAGAAAATGAAAATAAATAAAAAATGATTTTTTATTAAAGATTTATTTTTATTTATTTAAATTAATTCGTATTTATTTTTAAAATTAATAGTAATTTTAAATTTGCGTTGGACCCCGACCGTTCGGCGTGAAAGTCCGGGGTATGAAACATATAGAGGTCCGGGGGCTAGGGTTAAACAGGAGGAATCCAACGCTATTTTAAATGAACTAAAAATAAAATATTTACCTTATGTCTTGTCTCAAGGTCACTGAGACATCTGGACTGGCATCTTAAAAATTTTTTAAATTTTTTTGAAAAATTAGAAAATATCATTTAGTAGGCTTGGTAAATCAGGGTATTCGCATTCAAAAAAAGACAGGATATCGGATCCGGATAGTTCGGACATTGAATCCGAATCCAAATGAGATTACCCAGGATCTGCCACCCTTATTATTCACTAATTTAATAATTTTTAACTAAATTTATTTTAAATAAATCCCCCTTAAAAAATTAATAAAAAATAAATAAAATTTATAAAAATTTGCATAATTATGTAGTAACCACCTCGCACTAAACAAATCATCAACTGCACTTGTAACTGAATAATTAAGGTTGAGGATTGGATTTAGAAAAATAATGAATTGATAAATAAGGGGAAATAATAAATTAAAATTGAAATAACTAGGAAATTCATTAATATTCATTTTTTGTTCTAGAGAAAATTATTTTAATTGAAGGATATATTAAAATTATAGCTTAAAAATATTTTGTAAAAATAATGGCTCATTGACAGAGTTGAACTAAAAAATACAAAAGGGCGCGGTGATAATTGAGATAGTTTACTGGATATTAGATATATTGTTCCTCGGATTAAAGCAAGTCCTCGGAGATACATATAGTAAAGCTTCTACCATATTCAGCATAAAATTGTTCCATGGTTTATAATAGAGCCCGCCTTGATACGATTTTTGCGATATTTTTAGATAGTCGGTTTCGTTATTTATCAAAAAAATAACGCTCGAACCCTCTAACCGGGCTATAGTTGTAAATTATGGATCATATTTATATACAAACAATCGTATCTAAGTAGTATTATACTAACCGACTAAGGAACAATCAGTTTCGGATACCTCTGAAATACTAAATTTAAAATAGTAATCGAGAAATTTTTAGAATTTATTTTTAATAAATCAAGCCTGGGTGGCCAAAGATTAAAAAATATATTATTCCTATTATGGTCACCTCCCGAGTAAACTATTTACAAACAAAAATGAACAAAATTTGCTTATTGTTATTAAATATAGCCAAAGAGTACTTGAAACAATTTCCAAAATATCGTCGCATTATTTAAAAATCTTAAAAATAATTTTGAAGTATATGGCCCCGAAAATTTTAATAGCAAAATAATAATGTGTTGAAAATTTGTAAGAGGTGGGCGGACTTGTTTATAAGAGGTAACACAAAAAGGGATAGTTAAATTTGGCATCAAATGAACAACAATTAAAGATACTATCTGTTATTTAGCTCTGAAAATATTTCCAAAACTTTGGATTAAGACTAGGGTTGCCGGCCCGGTTCGGTTCGATAGATCGGACCGGGCATAGAATTTTGGCCCTAAAAATGACTCGAATGCCGGCCCGGTTGAAAATGGCAACCCTAATTAAGACAGACTCGCGTTTAATTAGGTTCTCTACATACCTTGCCTGATATTAAGAGTACTAGCTTACTAATGAGTTTGGGCAAATTAAGTATTCTTCTGGTCAGTTAAAAAAAATGAAAAAATTTTTTTTTTAAAAATTCCACGTTTTTTAAGGAAAATAAACAAGAATTTATAATTAGGTAGTTTAATTAAAAACTAATTAAATATTTTTCTAAAAATTTTCTCAATACAACAAAAAAAGGAAAAGCTGTGGGATATGACCTTGTATTAAAGAAAGATGAGTAGGGAAGGAAATGAAGGAATGGGCAAAAGATTGTTTAATGTGTTTGCAACAGCTGAAAGAAAAGAAAAAAATTTTGGGCGTGGCATTATTATTAGAACCAAAAATTAAAAAATTTTCATTAATGGACTTTTATAATCCAGAAGATTATTAAATCGAAGATTATTAATTTTTTAAGGACAAAGAATAGTACAAAAAATTAATTTCTAGTTTTAAATAAAATTTAGGGAATTGTCCCTATTTAATTGGAATAGAGCTCAACAACGGACATTCCCGGGGTCGGTCCCGTGGCCTGATCCATTAGCTCGGAAACAGGATATCTAATCAGGTAGCTCAGAAACTAGAGGGTTTTTTAAATAAAATCTGCTTGTCCAGATTTCTTAAACATAAAATAAAATACGGGTGTTCCAGGTTACGCGGTTTTAGCTCGGGAAATCTGGCCCAGGTCAGCTTGTAAGAAACCGCCGGATTTTCGAAAATCAATTTTTTTAAACCCCAGGCTAATTTAAAAATGTCTATCTCTAATTGGAACATTAATTAAGCAATGTTAAAATATTTTTCTGTGGCTAAATAAGTACCAACATTTGCCTCTAGGAAATATTTTTCCCATTAACAACAATGCCCCTTCATTTCCCCTAATGTTCAATTCCTTAGCCTAAACAGAAGAACAATGTGCCAAAAACAGGAATTGCCAAAGGGGAAATGGAAGAGGTGAGGAAAGCCCCAAAATGAGAATAAAGGGACCCTCTCAAGAGGAAGATTTTTGTGGATGGGAGGAATTTTTGAGGGAACAAATGAATATTCTAACACTATTCATGTTCACCCCTCACATTTTTTAAGTGTAGGGGAGGTCTCCAAACTACATTTTTTTCACAGTTTGCCTGTGTTCTTTATTAATTTTTGAGTTTCCCCGAATATGGAGACAATTTATAGAACAATTTTTATTTTTGAGGGGGATATTGGGAAAGGGGTGAATGGAAAAAGAACAAATTGGGCAACAAACAGAGTGGTGGGCTAAAAGGGCTAGGGAGGGAGGGGATTGAGGGCAAGGGAATAAAAAAAGGAGGATGAGCAAATTTTGAGCATTTAAGTGTAATATTTGGAACGCTTAAATAAAATCTTTGGCAAACAATAGAAATGGTTGTATTAATTGTTTTGGAAATGTAATTTATGTAATTAGAAATTCTAAATAGATGTAATGTATAATAAGGGTTAGTACTCGGCCCGTCGGGGAGAACTTTTTCGGTGAACGAGATATAGGGATAGACTGTTGGGGATTGAGGTCTGAACAGAAATTTTATCAGTGAGTCGAACAATTAAATTATTCCAAGACAACGAACAGACAGCTTGTCTCAATTCTCATGGGAATTCTTATGCCGAAATTAACTGGATCAGGTTCGTGACAGAATTTTTATCGTAGACAGGAGACAGGCGATCGAGGAGCCGAACAGCTTAGTTCAACAGATATGTAGCCTAACTCAATAGACTGTCAGGGTAAGGTGTCTCTAACTCAAAATTAATATTTAATTCGTGACCTTTAATCCTCACTAATATTTCAATGTTTACTGACAGATGAACGCAAATTTTAAACATTTAAAATGAAAATAAAGAAAAAAGTCGGAGTCATAAAAGAAAAAGGATCATAAAATGAGAGATTTTAAACATCTTCTTGGCTTAAACTCTAGTAAAATTTTGGGGAATAAATGCAGATAAACAAAGAGAAACATGTGTGAATAAACAAAAAAAAGCAAAAATTAGTAAAAATTTAAAAATTTGGAGGAAAGTGCCTAATTGCGCACCAGGGATGGGACGGGACCGAAACTCGATACCCGAAACCAGACATTACTTTATCTCAACCCGTCCCATCCCTGTTGCGCACCTCTCAAGATAAAAAATGCCAGATT